AATACATTATAAATAGAGAAAAAAAAAACAACTATGGTCTTATAAAGATAACATAATCATTTAATTATAATGGAAGCAAGATAATTTTTAATATATTATGAGTTTAGAAGTAATCACCTATCCAGTTGCTGGATCATCTCAAGTCCAAGCATTCTTATCTGTTATATAATCGGATACCTTATAATAAGCTCTTTAATAAGTACCTATTTTTTTAATAGTAGATTTAACCTGCATGATATCTAATTGTTGTATTTTGATATCTAATTGTTTGCTCTATTAACAAATATATTCAAAATACAAAATACCAATGTTATACAAAAGGTGCAATGACCAGCTAGTTGCAACAGCTTAGCTATGCCTTATTAAGTGTAGTGTAGAAATGCATCTACAATTCACTTTCAACTCGTAACAACTCACATGCGTATATTGGTGAGCTCCCATGTTAAATAACTATACCCGTCTTACAGAAATCAAAACAGCAATGGTACTCCATGAATTTCCTAGCTCCACAGTGCTCCAGGCTCGATTTATTACCACTTCTTCCAATTCCCGTTGACTAAATGATTGATGTCCTATGAGCTCATCACTTGTGGGCGTCTAGAGGCATTCGTCGATGTGCCTGACCAGGCTATGAATGAAATGACGTTTCTCGCGTCGATAGATATGCCGACGTCCTTGCCAATTCTTCCGCCTACGCGTCTAGCCGGCGTGACGTCACAGGATAATGATCTGAAGGAGGTGTCGAGGATCTGTCTATGTATACCAGTAAAAGGAGGTCTCAATGCCAACACCATTTTTTTGCCTTCCAATATTGAATAATAGACTTTCATGCTGATCTGAAACTGAAATAAGCCTTTTAATTTTATAAATATAATACTGAATAGTTTTTGGGGTATTGTATTTTAATATATCAAAATTATGGACATTAAGTCTGCCAACAGTATTGACCGACATTTGTGTTTATGTAGTGAAAAAAAACATATTACGCGAGTGCTTAAGCTGGCCTGACATCTTGGTCGGTCCGCCGTATTAGATTTAAAATACTTAACATAGTGAACTAGACAAAAGACATGCAAATACAAAATACGGTATATGCGCTCTAGAAACAGCCCTTACGAAAAGACTCGCTGCTATCTAATGCAAGATCTTCAAACTTGAAACAAAATATGTTGTTAACTTTCATAAGAAACAATATGAGCGCAATTTGATATACCTGATGGAGAAAATACATTTTAAGAATAAAATGTGAAGCTATTCAATCCAACAAAATCCGAATTTACGACAAGTAGGATTAAGGAAAGTTAACTCAATATCTACAATATTATTTACCTAAAAATACTGTAACAAATATAAGCGAAAAAGGATCTTGAAGATAGACAGATAACGTAGGCGTAACAAATAGCTCTGAATGATGTTATAATAAATGAGAAGATACACTACTTGCAAGTGTAGTACGTGTCAAAGTTCAATAACTTTTACATACTATAACATCAATCATTATAGGGAAAGTGATGCCAAAATGATAATATCAAGTAAGACAAATTCAACGCATATCGCTTATGGAAATATGCCTAACTCTAAGAAGGCTTTATTTATCCGATACGTACTTGCAGTTTTAAATCTTAAATATTTGCATTTTATTTATTTATATCACTGAAATTCTTTTCAACGTCACATACAGATACCAAATTAAGTACCTTTATTGTACCTATACGTATTATGGAAATCTGAAAGATACCACAACACACAAACCTGAGACAAACTAGAAAACATAACTTTCTACATAGACTCGGCTGGGAATCGAAACCTCCCGGTTTCGATCCTCGGAAATTGTAAACTACACAAATTATATAAAAAACAATTCACTACATTATCAATACAATCTCTTTTAATCGCAACACAAGAATATAAATGGAGCAAGTTTGATAGTTTGCAAAGTATTTTATCAATTTTGCAGTCGCAAATGACAAAAAAAATGTGACAAATGCTTAAAAATCCTCCAGAAAAAATTGCTCGAGGTCGTGGGTTCGAGTTCAATCTGGGCTTGGTGGATTTTTGAAGTATTCCTTATTAAAAAAATATGAAAGTTTTTGGAAGTGACCCAGAACTTTTACTACTCACTAAAAGATTAATACAAATGTTGGAAAACTTAACATTTATCTTCCTTTTGTCATTACATGGGATCCGAACGAATGATTAACTTTTAGATAATAGGTACAGTTTATTTTTGATCTTACAAACGTTACTCGTCAGACGAAATAAGGCCAATGGCCTAATGACAGGGACTTATTTTTAGTTCGGGTCTTTTGATGGCGACTCATTTACTGTTTTTGGTAAGACGTTACTGAAAATTATCCAAATGTTGCGTTATTACTTTTTATTCCTTTTTTATGAAGCTATTCAACTGAAAGAAGATAATAAAACGGAGATTTATTATATTCCATAATCTAATTTATTGTAAGTACCTAATTCGTTTTGATTTATAAGTATAAAGTGCAATCGGAAAGCTCTTACTTCTACACAATATACTTAGAAATTTTTATTAACATAAGACTCAACGACAGTATGTAATATATACCGGGAAAAATTTTATCTCTGGCAATATCCACATCATATGAAAATATAATTAAAATGCAACTACTTATATTATAGTAAATAATGTATGTAATAAATTATAAAGGCTACGTTACATTAAAATAAAAAAAATGTGTTGTGGTACCTTCGTTATTTGAGCTTTTTCTTGTACAGTGCTTTATCTATTTGATTTGATATGTGAGCAAAGTATATAATCCGATAAAATTTAATTTAATAAATCTCCCCTATAGGTCAAATACATAGTTAGAGAACAAACCATATAGGTTAAACACATCTTAGCGATGTTAGGGCGATATTACATTAAATTTTACCACTTTGACATGCCTTTTGTTAACATCGCTAAGACGTCGTATCCTATGGTTAACTAGCTAGCTCGCTCGATAACTTAAGGTGCCTTCCGAAGCCCGGAAGAGCTCAATGAAATATTTTTTGATCACCCATTCTATGACTTACCATTGCAAAAGTTTCTTAACCACCATACAGAAGATCGTATGTGAATCGTTGCTCTATGATAAATGCAATAATATAAGCAAAGATGCGTTCTAAACAAATGTACATATACTACACACATTCATTAATACACACCATCTAAAATAAGAAAACAAAACATGTCGCGCAAACGTTTGATTTATGCTTACATTCTTCATGTGAATATGATGTGACATTTGACATGAAAGCTAGAATTTCGGAATTAAAATATTTTATAAGTTGCAATAAAGACTAACGGTAATTATAAACATGTCTATATTTCACCTCGACTTAGGTTCTTCTCGCATTTGTAGACTAACAGTAGGTCCGATTATTCGCAACATCAGCCTTTGTAAGTCTAAGTCTAAATAAATGACACTGTAATCGTTAGACATTGTAATCGTCGTCTCCAATATAAATCACATAATCAATTAAGAATCATGTCTTTTATAAAGTGTCTTTTCAATATTTCTAAAAGTTGCATTGGAATAACGTGCACTGATAAACAAGGGCTATAAATAAATTGGTTAATAGAGTACATATAATTGCATTAATTGCATTTTATTAACTAACAATGGTACCACGTCCTTCGAAGGCATTAATGTCAATATACGGATATAAATAAAATACATAGTATGTATGACTGTATAATAATTATAGTGCGAGTGAATGATACACATTATCTGAGCATGATTGAAATAACTGTAAAATAGGCAATTCACTATTTTTTCGTTGAATTCGATCTAATAGGTCGACTCTACCTATCAAAAGTAGCTAAATCGTTCACATGAAGATTTTCCAGCAGACACAATTAATTTCGTGTTGACGAATGTGTAGAAACCCTTAAATAGGTACTAACATAAAGTTTTCTCAATAAATTCTATAAATTATGGTGAAAGACATATTAAAATCTACCAAGTACCTACCCAAGTAATAAATGACCGCAAATAAACTGTGTTATTGGAATACTGTTAATAATAACATATGTCTTTAGTTTTAGATAAATATTCTATACCAAAAAATTTAAAAAACGGAAAAAAATTATTGTTTGTTCATTGATTAATTCGGCTCCGAAACTACTGGTGCGTTTATATATATATTTTAACCTATAGTATATTTTTTTTACCGTTTCAGTCCTTAATTAATTAATGAAGTTTAACATTTCCCTAAAACATATATTTTTGTTCGTATGTAATGCCTATTTATCATTAAAAAATTCGTCAATATTATAATAGCATTTGTCAATGAGGTATGTTTTCAAATGTTCAGTAAATGGTTTTAGTTGTTTTAATTGCTTTATTTTGTTCGGTATGTTGTTATATATTTTGATTGTCATCCAATGGGGACTCGTCGTGACAATTTTTAATTTAGAAAATCCTAGCTTTATTTTATTTTGGTTGCGGTCGTGCCTTTTATGCTTAGTGGTTTTAACGGGGGAATACAGGTTTTCATGTTTTCTTACAAATTTGCAAGCTTCAAGGATATACAAACAAGTCAATGTCAATATGGAATGTTTTTTAAAATGAGGTCTACAGGATTCCATTTTGTCAATGTTGGTTAATATTCTTATACATTTCTTTTGTTGGATAAAAACACTTTGAGCATCGGTAGAGTTTCCCCACAAGACAACACCATATGATAATTTAGAGTGGACATAAGCGTAATATGCAGTTAGAGCAGTTTTAAAATTTGTTTCTTTCTTTAAATGGAATAACGCATATGTGAAAGAAGATATTTTTTTTTTTGTTAATTTTATTGAAGTTATTAATATCATCTACCTATGTGCTGATAAAATAAATACCATAAATCGTGACTAGTTACTTCTAGATGACGAAATAGTCCTAAATCTTTCGTGTTACCATACTTAATTTACTATCATGAGTAATTAAGAAATATTCAAGCTCGACAAATTTAGTAATAGACATGTTTCCACCCAGGTAGTCAAGCACGCGTGAGCGCGATGTCGTCCGTGAGAACGACGCGAGGGTCCCGGGTGAGGCTCGAGTGCAAGGCCAGTGCCCGTCCGCCACCCCGGATCACATGGTACAAGGATGGGAAGCCGGTCACAGAAATAGCATTGAGAAGATTCCGGGTGCAAAAATTTAGGTAAGGACTTCAAGATTCAAGATAGTAGCAATTTAATGATATACCGTCATTTGATTGGATTTGCAGGGACAACGATTAATTCGATCTCTATAAAATTCTCCATAAGATCTGATTTTTTTTTATGGATAACACCCCAAGCCCATAAGCTTTCGAAAAAAAGAATTTTGAAAATCAATCTACAAGTCGCTGAGAAATCGGTAACCTTACAAAAAAAAAACTCCTTTTTTACTTAGAATTGCCTCTGATTCAATTTTTTTTAATACTACCTAAGCCGTATGTTATGACCCACTTCACTCCGTTTGTTGATCTTGATCCAAAAGTACCTAGCGCGTTTGTATCAACAGTGGAACAACGCTGCAATGTAGCCAAACAAATGGTGCTTGCATATGGCGTTTACATTTAATGATCATCGCATACTCGGTCACTGCGAACAGATTGAACTAATCGCAACTGCAGGCAGCTGTCATTGACCGACCTAAGGTACTGATGCAGTTGTCATAGCCATCTAATAACGGTCTTTATTCCCCTTCAAAAAGAGTGTTAAATGATGCATTTAGCTATGCGGCACAAACTGTTACGAATAATTATGACGAAGTGACGCGGACAGCAATTTCACGGGTCGTTTAAGATTAAAGTCGGAACGGAATCATCGTTTGAACATAACAACTGACTGCCTTTTATTCATACAGTATCCTGGATTTGACGTTGATTGATCAATAAGACTTACTTATTGATCTGTTTAATCAAGCTGACTCCTATTGTCTTCTTTCAATATAAACCTTGGGCAGTTTGGGTAGTTCTTTAATATTACTTTACATTCGTAAACATAGAGCTAAATATTTATTCTAGAAGAAGTCTATTTGAATAAAGATTATTTTGACTTTGACTTTGACTTTGACTTTGACTAGTCAAAACTAATTTACCAAAAATTTTTGCCGAAATGAATTTGTCTCATCTTTACGTTTTATTATTGCAATTAAGCCGGGCGTTTTGTTTTTTCCAGGAGGCGCTCGGTGCTAGTGATAAGGCACGCGAAGTCTGAAGACTCCGCGACTTACGAGTGTAGGGCCCAGGGCGCAGTGGGACCACCAGCTGTGGCCACGGCTAACGTCACAGTCCTGCTACCGAGTACATCACCACCTGATACGAGTTAGTACTACATATTAATCTGTCGTAGGATTACGAGAAAGTCAAGAAGATCCGGAGATTGATAAAATTACAACCCCAGTTTTTTGATAGAAAACCTAGACCCGATCATTTTTATTGTAAAATTACTAACGGCTGTTATTTTTATTTATTTATTTATGTACATGGATGACCAACAGCTAAAAATTACATAATAAAAATCTTAGCTAAAAACAGACAGCCACTTACAGGTCGTCACAGATAGACATAGTATAAAAAAAAGAAAAAGAGAAGAAAGACCGCTTACAATCATAACAATGATAGACTATGCTGCTTACATTATACTTAAATCTACAACACTACGGACTTTCAAAAAATAGGTTACTTATAATGCGCCTAATTTATTTTCATAATTATTTATTTTCATTTGAACAGGGTAGAATGTATAAGATGACAGATAGTTTCAAAACCATAAAGTAGTGCCCTGCACGCGTAGCATGACGATCTCGAGAACGTTTTGTCTACACTCAAATGTCACTTTTCTCGGGTGCGCCCATACTATATCTCACTCTCGAACCGAGAAACTGACAAATGAGTGAAGACAAAGCGTTTCTCGAGTTTGTCATGCTACGCGTGCTGTCCTGTTTCTGTTTCTCTATAAAAATCGTCTTTCTAATCTTGAACATAATCATAAGATTTTTGTACACACTTCACACTCTCTCGGGGTCTCTCAAATCATGAGGATGTTATTATATTTTGATTAATTTAGCATTCACAATGCCATACTGAAAATTATTCTTAATACAAAATGCTTAAAAAATCCGCTCAGTCCCTGGCACCCTGAGATGGGAATCGAACCCACGACCTTTTGCAATCCGGGCGACTGCCGGGATTTTTTAAGCTTTTTCTATTAAGAATGAGAATATTATGTCACAATATAATAATAGTCACGCTTATGTTAAAACTAGCTTCTGCCCGCGACTTCGTCCGCGTGTTATAGTTACTTTGAGCAACATTCCTTAAAAAGCTAAAACAAATGTTATTCCTACCTGAAAATAAAGTTTCATGATTTTATCTTTGACAATGGCGAACTTCCATATAAACTTAAATCCATATTTCAACATTTTCATTAAAATAATCAAAATCATTTAAAAAAATAGAATTGACTTCAAATTAAAAAAAAAGATAAGTAATATTATTATTAATTAAGTGATAGCAGCCAGATTTCAATAAAATTTCTTAAATAAGTCTCTTGAAGATATCTATTAATTATCACTTTTTATAAACTAGAAGTCGGTTCTTTATCGAAAGAAGTTTTTATTTCATTCTTTTTAGCGATATAATTTTTTAATTATAGTGTCACTAAAAATATTAGATGTCTATATAAAAAACATTGAGTGGTTCGCACGCCGGTTTCAAGGTGTCGCCTCTGAGGTCCCGGGTCCGATTCCCGGTCGGGTCAATGTATAAAATGAACTTTTCTATTTTGACTTGGGTCTGGGTGTTGTGGTTCCTTCGTTGTCTCAGATACTCCATATACGGGGGCTTTAGCTACTCATCTTGGAATCTGAGCAATGTATGTGATGTTGTTAAATATTTATATTTATATAGTATAAAATAGTATATAATATAAAAAATAAAAAGTGATACAGAATATAGAAGACAGTAACATACATAATTCAATCCATCATACACATGTGATGTGGTCAATCAGGACACTACCTCAGCTTGTGCTGTTGCAGTGAGAATCAATAAGAATCACAACATCCTTCTATAAAGCCTAGGGAAGTGGTATGAAGGATCATGATCCGAATTTTTACGAAACACAATTATTAATTTTATTAATAGCAAAATATCCGTGATTTAAGAATAAAATTATTTGGATATTCAACTTCGAAGATACTACAAAAAAAATATTACTTTCGTATATAAAATGACCGAATATTTTAAAAATATTTATTTATAATGTTATATTTGTTATCAGTTACATACTCAAATACCAATTTTAATCACAATATAAGAAAATCTTTATAAATTAAATTAGATAGATTTATTACAGTGATAAATCAAATCGTAAACAATGGTTACTACGGGAACAAAATGTATCCCATGAAAACTTTCACTCCCATTTTAATCCCGTGTAAGTTTAGGGTCAATTTTGGGTCAATTTGCATCGATATAGGTCCAGAAACAAAGAAATTTCATACAGACGTTTTCACCCTTTCTGACCCAATTCGGGGTGGAATTTCCAAAAAATCCGTTCTTTATACACCTCTACGTAATATGATAAGAAGAATGTACCCTTCAAATTTCAAGTCTCTACAATCAGCGGTTTAGGCTGTACGTTATCTGGCCGGTATGTCAGGAAATCTCCTTTTATATATGTATAGATAATTATAATAGGTACCTACTTATTGAAGTATTGTTGTTTTATTAGATTTTTTTATAATACTTAATTGATAATGTACTTATATAGTTGTTACCTTGTTACAGCGTCATTCGGTGCTCCATGTCCAATGCCTGACCCTTCTTCGTACTGCCTCAACGGAGGTACCTGTTTGTACTTCGAGCCGGTTAGAGAACAGGCTTGCAAGTGAGTTTCAATCCAAGTACTTATAAATAACAATAGCTCGTCGATTTAACTCAATTAACATAAAATGTTAGGAATAAATTCTAAAAACAAAACATTGGCATAGTTCGAAGGCTATTTTGTTGTTAATTACGGTAAACTTAAGCCTAAAGTTTAAGAAATCCTGCTGTAGAGCAACATCAACAAAAACAGGCGTTAAATAAATGTAATTTTCCAGGTGTCCAGAAGGCTTCAACGGGCAGCGCTGCGAAAATAAGGACGTATCAAATAGGAGCAGTATGTATCATCACCCCTATACGTGCAAACTGGGCCTATCGACGTCCTACTATTGTTAGCCAACGCTGCGCCAGCGCAGAACCCACCTTGTTCCAATTTTGAATTTAAAATTTTAGCAAGCGCTTTTTGTGGTTGTGAAGATTCCATTGAGTGTTTCCATATAAGCCGTTTCATTGCATTACCAAGTCTTGTTCACTTCAATGGCAATCAAACGTCAGCCGATGCTGCAAGGATGATTTTCTAGAAAAATTCAAAAAAATCTCGGATACCTATTATTATCAAGAGATTTTAAAGCAAAGGCAAAATGCATTTACTGTAAATAATATAACATTTTAGACACTTGTATATAGAAATTATTGATTCCTTTCACACACCACAAAGCGTACTGTTATTTATTAGCAAAGATAAGCTGTATAAACAGTGAGTTTTTGTTCTGTATAAGTAGATTAAAACACACGTTTTTGTTTTTTGAATTGGGGGTCAGCTGTTACCTTTACTTTTGTAAATATAATTCCGAATCTCCCTCTCATCTCGTTTAGCGATGTGAAACTGTGATGATTCCAATTTTGTTTTTTTTTTTATTGTCTCTAATTAGTGTTACTTCCATTTTGTTGGGAAACAGCTGACCCAGTGAGATTATAAACCTTAAGCATTAATGTCTATGTTGTTTTTTTTTATGAAAATGAAAAGAACTGAGCGAATATTCGAGTTTAAACGTTTTGATACGACACGATAGACGAAGCCTTTATGATATACTTGTCGTATTATTCATCAATTAGATATTGCTTTTTAATCACAAAATATTTAAGTACCTACTTATTTAATTATTTTTCTTTCTTTCATACTTTTTACATAAAAACTACTTACAGGAACGTCTTGATATGGTTTTAAATTAATATTATATAATATTTTTCTGATAATTAAGTTGTAAATATTTTAAAATGTATTTGTAATTTTGCAAGCTATTTTATTGTTATTATTTAAAATTAAGTATTGACAATTCGTAGCTGGTACGTCCTAATGATGAGACTTGCAAGTTATGTACATATCTAGTAGGCTAAGTCGTTTTTTTTTATATTATGTATTTTTAAATATCATTCAAGTAATAATAAACCTCGGTCGCCGTACTCGTGTGACTTTTGAATATAAAAATACCTATATATTTTTTTTACTTTCGTTGCGAGTATGGTCGTAACAATCAAAGATTTTTTGAACAATTCATATACCACCTAGTCATAATTCAGTTTTAATACTATAGCTAGGTAGGTCTAGATGAATTTTTTAATGTATAATATTTGAGTGTTTATTGGAAGAATGGTTGTGGATATAGCTAATGTATTGTTTTGTCAAAATTCCTTTTTACCTTTAAATAGTTTTTATTTCATCAGCTGCTTGGGACCGAATACTCACAGAATAAATGCGCAGTTTAGTTAGTTTTTTAATTAGTTATTTTGTATAAAGTTTTAATCTTTTTTTATTTTTTAAGTTCATTATTTATGTGTAATTAAAACAAAATGATTATTTATTTTAACACTTTACGTGGACTAAGGGGCATTAAAGTTAAGCGAAATGACGTCATTTATCACTCATAATATCTATAGAAGCTTTATACACCAAACTAATTATTAATTACAATTAATAATTAATTGCCCATTGACAATTCTTATTGCAGATTTTTATTAATATTTTTTTAAATGGCGTCGTTACGCGTCTATTCTAAATTTGTATTCTCACAACAAATATTAAGGCGGGAAAAGTCAATGTAATGGAATATACCAAAATCACAATAAAAGAATGAGTGTTGGAATTAACAGAAAGGCGACATTTTGTTTTTTTTTTTTCTTAATTTTAATTTATACTATTTGTCCTAAATCCTAGAGAAAAGGCTCAATGTTGGCATCAAAAATGGTACGTATATTCGAAATTTTATTTTATGTCGTGCACAGATAACACTCCGCACTCATTAAGTATACGCGATATGTAAACTATGTAACTTTATATTCTAACATACATTTATACATATTTTACTTACATTTACTTCTATATGCATATCTAAAGTTACGTTTTCCTACATATCGTCTAATACGGTATTTAGTGACTAATGCTTAAAGATAATATCGTTACTAATCAAAGGTATATTACATGCATGGTAATTATATGGGCACATAAACTTAATCATTTGTTGTGAGATAATAAAAATACATGTGCATGCGACTGATTTAATGTATCTTTTCATTAATTTGTAACAATAATAGTTTTCTTTTATTGACAGGTAAAGGCGATCCATTGTGGTAACAATCGAGCAAGACGAAAACAGCATTCCTATAACAATTCTACTTGAGAGTAAAATTATGAGTTGCAATTTTGCTATTGTAGAACTCCCACCAATTTTAAAAAAAAAACATTATAATTATATTTATATTTAATCGTGGATGTTCCATTTACAATGAGGAATCTCACAAAATAATTACTCGGTGAGACATTCAATACAGGAAACATTTGTAATCAGTGCGTATATAATGTTGTATGTTACTCTAAATTATAGTCACACTTTTATCCCTTTGATCCAAGCTACTTATATCGGAGATGCAGAAAAAAGGTATCTCTAAACACATTACCTACTACTTATAAAAAAAACTACTAAATATTACCTACAGGCGGAAACAAAGAAAAAACTGAATTGTAAATATGTTCTAATAATATATCTAATTACTAAATCATTCCTTACGCACTGATAATAAACTTACCCTACCCTAATTATATGACTATGTACTTACATGTATAAAGCTTTTATGTAATAACCATGATGGTAAAAATTTGTATAATATTTAATTATAAGTTTATTTGTATACTTACTTTGGTGCTTAAAATTGTGACTTATATAGTGCGAATTTATGTGAATTTCTTGGTACCTACTATTGTAGACGAAAACTATTCGAATCTCATTCTTTTTTTATTTATAATGTTGAGATATTTCAGTCTCTGTCATAAAGTACATAATATAAATTCAAAAATGGAAGAAAAAAACTACTTTCTAGCCAGTTGCCAATAGACAAATTATAGCGATTTTTTATTACAAGCAAACAATATCAATTGTTTTTTTTACTCTTAAGGTCAATTCATCCTAGTGCAAATTCTATGATATATTTAGTTACAATAAACTGACTTAACAGACCATCCTTCATCACCCTTCCTGTTTATGAAAAGCCAACACTACGAAAAATTGAGAACCATTTTTTAATGCATATAAAAAAGTGGTCAGATATTTATTGCTTTTTTGAAAGGAATACTGGAAATCGTGCGTGACCTAGGTCACGTCCGTGCCATGTGCCCAAAAACGCAGTAACTGATTATCAGCTCCGCTTCAAAGAATATAGTAGAACTCAGATCCTACATAGAACTTCGAAAAATCTAAGTACTTACCTACCAGTATTTAATTTTAAATCCATGAAGTCACAAAAGAATATTACCCCTAAGATTGTCACGTACAGTCAAGAATTAGAAAATTCGAGTACGATCGGGATGCGTCCACTTAACAGTAGCCATGATTGTAGGCACAGGTTACATCTTAGTGAGTGTTATGATGAGATTTCGTTTCCTTTTACTACTTTAACATGTCTTTTAGTGGATAAATGACTAGTGGCAAAATAATTCGTTTGCCGTTATTGAAATATATGTCAAAGTAGTAAACTGAAATGAAATAACGTTTTAACATCGCTGAGATGTCGTGTCCTATGGGTACAGTTATAGTTAGGCGGTCGCTCTGCAGATGATCAAAGCACAGGCTTCAGCAATGTACTTATATACTCAAAATCAATTAAGTTAAATTAACGTATCTTGTACAGTATTATTTGCCGTGTAGTTGTATTTATTTTCTTTGTCATATAATAATGTATTTTGTAAGCGCTTTGTAAAAAAAATAAATTAATGATTATAAACGATGTTTTTAATTCAATTAATACCACAGGTTATATTAATTAATCTGCGTGTTCGTTAAGATAGCAGGCACACCAACGAATTTGTGGGTCATACGTAGTGATACAAAGCGTAAAAATAATGCCACTGTAAATTAAGAGATATTGGAATATCTTACCAAATACCCAATTAAGTCACAATTTTTTGACAGGTAGGTAATTCGCATTAATACGTATCGTGTATCTAGTGTGCCTGCTAAGACTCTTTGTTGTAGTGTCATAATAGTCACATAATATTTTTTCGTGACGATAGTCAATGATCTTAACTTTATCATCAGAGATCATTATCCACAAAATTAATTTTTAAAAGGAGTTTAATGCAGTTTAGCAAGTAACATGATTACATGCCACATTTATTTTAAAATAAAAATGAAGTCTGTTACAAAATTTTATTGAAAATTTTCAAAGAACCTACTTTCAAAATATACTATTTTAAAACGATCTTAACCAGTAATCTAACAAACTACCTATATACATAAATACTGAATGAAACTGAAGACATTAAACTGTCTTTATAGGTATAAAGCAAATCATTATGAACTATATCTCACTGGATGCCGTACCAACAACGCCGTTGTTGAAGCAGTCCCTTTGCGTCCATGAGACGCTAAATCTAGCCGCTAAAACAGGTACCAGATAAGAGAGTAGCTGGCATCCGAAACACAAGGATTTATTTATATGCATGTATATTTTTGTGAGCATCACAAAATAGTAAAGGTAGAGTTAGATATGCCATAACATAATTTGAGTCAGATTTAATAAAACGCTATGCACATTATATTCTGTCTGAGATATATAAGACGCATCTATTTACAATGTTTAGATTTGCACAGCCTGTTTAATGATATAAAAATACTTGAATAACAAACATGATTATTCACTTAAGTTCACAAAGTACAACATTTCTATGTCACTGCATTTTTCAATAAGCTTTAAAAACTATAAGAAAATATTGAAACTTTAAACTCTTAACATTTTAGCAATTATAAAAGAAATGTAACCCATTACCAGGCTATGTGGGCTCATTCCCTTTACCTTTAAATAAATAATAAAAATAATCTAAGGACCAAACAAAAACAAATCTCAACTGATTATTCTCAATAACTTAAAAAAAAGTCTGTCATATTAAAAAAAAAACCGAAAGCAGAGTTTATAAAATACCAAAAAATGAAGTAAACCGAGTGAAATATACACAAGGGCAACAGCATTAATAGAAAATAAGTTTTTTACTTTGAAGGAGAAACTGTTTAAGTGCAGTTTGAGACATGCTTAACTTTAATATAAATACTTAATTTAGAAACCGAGTGTGAGCCCACCTACGTACTGTCTACTTTAAAGAGGACAATAATATATTTCAGTGCACCCACACTAACATAGGTCAATGTCAGTATATCAAAGCTTATTAATTTTTATGTATCAAACAAAACTTTTCATATTGTTGCATATTCATTAATCAAACTATGTTAATAAACTATTATGCAGTAGTACATCATAATTTTAAAACATATCTTATCAACAAAGTTGAATTACTCTATTTACATGAGGCTGTTTTTTCATAAACATAACCATCATTATCCTTACCCTTATGCAGGTAGCAATATGCTTACTTTGACTAAAGCATACACATAAATGGATAAACACACTTCTCTTTTTAGATAAATTAACCACTTTATTCTTTATTGTTAATCTTGTAAAAAATTATGAATTTTTTTGTAATGTGATGGATGATATTCCAAGAATTATAATTCAAATATTAAATAATGGGAACTCAATAAATATAAGGTACATGGTAGCAATTATTCTAATATTAATGACCATGCATTTTTGAATGACTGAACCTTATCTGCAACCCTTTATTGAATTCTCTATTAAAATAATATTACTTTTAAAGATCTTTAAAAAATATGGATACCACTTCAAAAAATATTCTTTGAATTAATTACAAATCAATATTTTTTAAAGTGGTTTAGGGTACCTTATTTTAAAAAAGATTATGCCATTTCAAAAAATCACAAGGGTATATTCCCTGACAATCCAAGCCATTGTAGTACATGTAGAAATCTTTTTGTAGTAGATCCCACTTTGGTTTTTACATACATTTTAACATAATACAAAAGGCATTCACTAGCCTATAGTTTTAAAATTAATCAGACAGTTTGTAACTCACAACTGTCTCCATTTTATGCAAACTTGTAGAGAATGTTTTCAGTTGAACATTTTGTGCGTTAGCAATGGCAACAGGTTCAGCTTCAGCCCACTTTTCAGGAATATCGCAGTCAGTTTTAGCGTGAATTAAAACATCAAAAGAACAGCGACAATCGAGGAATGGTAAGTATGATATTGTAGCTGCGACTTGCAACATAACATCTCTAATTTCTTGTTGGATTTTTTTTAGATCTTTACTACCAACAGTCTCTTTTTTTTCTTTTGATAATTCTATATCCCCATCTTCATATTGCACATTGAAGTCCCAACACTCCAATACTTCTTTGTTGGCGACATTTAATATAATAAGTGACAGCTTAGTGACTTTTTTATTTACAATCCATTCTGAAAAAATATTATTTAATTTCATAAAAATAAACTGAACACTGATAATACTAATTTTTAAATGATCAATTCTACAGTTCAAACAGTATCTTAATAGCATTGCCTAACTATTTACCTTAATAACCATGAATTATTTACCTTCACTTTGTGTTAAAAGATTTGTCAGAAAACTTTTAATAAGAGGATCTTCTGATAGAAGTAGTGTAATGCCATACTGTTGTTCAGCCTTAAATGTTTCTGGTGGATAAAGCCCTCTTTGAAATAAGACAGAATTGATTGCAAACTCTGAAATGTAAAGACAAACACATACCAATTACTACTAGTTTGTTTGTTGCTAACAACAAACAAAGTATTTTTATTCTATAATATAAAAAAAAGGAAATAACAAGAAAACAATAGGTAACTTAACAATGGTAAATATTCCTAGGAGTTACTCACTCAAATATTCGCAAATAATTTGTGCGGAGCCACGAAGAGTGATGCAATTCTTAGTCTGCTGTTGCGACATAACGAAGTTTTGTAAAAGTAAGTTTAAATGTGTAGAATTCTAAGAAAACTGCTTGAATCAAAGAGACAAACGGTTTCTTTTCAAATAACCATTCAGTCGGTGTTTATGTATTATCTATGGTCAGTGTCTTATGGTGTCTTATTTATTACGTTAACGTCATACAATACACAAACTATATAGGGATGTCTAATACAAATAGAAAACTAATACTTTTGGCATCGATACTTTAGAATCGAGTAGTAAATAAGTAAGTGTCTATATCGGTACTCGGTGAGTGACTCATTGAAGAGTGTCAAAAACGCGCGTGTATATAACTGTTTACTCTATGTTAAGGTGTCTAAAGTCTATCTTATGAAAAAGTCTCACAGGCGCAACGTCCCTGTCGTATGACTAAGCATTACTTATCCCTACTAATTTTATGCAGTTAGTAGTAGTTAGAGAAAGTTAGATATCTATCTAGAAGGGGCACTGCCAGCAAAATTTACAAATAGAAGCAATACCTAATTAAATAAATACTAAATACTTTCTATGCATCGATTTTTAATGCCTAAACCTACTTCTTTTTTTCCTTAAACAAAGTATTGATATTCACTATAAATAGTATCAAATCTACTCTAAAAATCTATAAAAATGTCTACGATGTTGAGGCATTAAAAAGCCTACTATTTGAAGTTTACAAGTTGGGATTGAGTAAAAGTATCGATACCTAGGTGGTATCATTAAATACCTAAGCTCGCTTTGTCATCAGCTGTGCATCATCTGTCTCTGTCGTCAGAAAAGTTGGTTTAAACTTTGCGTTCCATTTTAAGTTTGATGTGTTTATAATTAGGTGATCAATTTTTTTTATATAGAGTTCTGAGTGTGGATTTACTTATTATTAACGTATAAAAAGATCGGTAACATAATACTAGAGGAATTTATTTACATCGTGTAATAGTCACCATGGTACAAATTTTGTGGTAGTCAAAGAATGATCATTTTATGAAATAGTTGTAAATACAAAAGCAATCAAGTATATATTTTTATCCGCCTTAACGAGTAATGAGAAAGTATTAAAAAAATAGATTAAACTAGATGTCGCTACGGTACGTTCTTGATTTCTCCATGACAACCTTTCCGGTTTTCTTTCATGTATAAAAGAAAATTAGTTTTCAAAACCCAATGAACAACTCATATTCTATTTGTATTTTTCGTATTTGTATTGATATCGAACTTTTCAAATTTCAGTTTTTTAATAAGTTAGTTAAAAGGAACGGAAATGACTGTCTTTACTTCATTCGTTTCTTGCAAAAATCAACTTTTGCTAGAGTCGCCGTCTAGTGGAGGTACTTAATACTTCCTCATTTCATCCATTTCCTTTTATTATGAATATAATATATTAAAAGTGACTTTATAGTATAATTAAGCATATTCCAATAAGACTTCTCTGTGTGAACGAAACCGGGCGAAAAAAGCCCGTGTTGAATTTCTTACAGGTTCTTCTCAGTACAGGGCTGTCCGGACCTATCATAGCACTTCTGATTGGCGTGACTTATCTGCCGGTGTTCCATTATTTATAAACTCTCTTACTTCTCGTCTTCGCTCATCTTATCATCTCTATGCAGACGATCTTCAAATACATGCTCAAGCAGACAAAAGCAACATCAACGATGCTATTTTGAGCCTTAATCAGGATGTCATTACTATTTTGGAGTGGTCCAACTGTTTCGGTGTGATCGTTAATAGAGCTAAGTGCCACAGTATAGTTATTGGCAGTTCACGCCAGCAGTCAGCTATTGATAGAAATTGCATTGCGCCCATACGATATAACGATGAAATTATTCCGTTTCAGGCCAGTGTAAAAAATCTGGGTCTGCACATCGATTGTACTCTTAGCTGGGAGGTGCAGATTGGTGAAGTGTTTCGAAAAGTAGTCAACACGCTCGGGTCTCTTTATAGACTACAATTTTTTCAGATATTTTATAACCATAAGTTCCATAATTTGTTATTTTCTAATTTAAACACTTTAAGACTAAACAGGAATATACTTAGAGGCACCGTTTAAATCTCTTTCAGTGGTCACTTGCCAACATTACCTACACTTCACCTCCAGTTTATTAGTCCAGGATCCTGATATGCCGGCCACAGTGTAAAAAACATATCTCCTTTCTACTCGACCCAGACCATGTTACTCTCGTAAACATGAAGAGTCTGCCTTACTTTTCAATGACTGACTCCAATACACGAGCCCTACGACGAGTACTCCTCGTTGAGTCTTCAGCAAAATGACGTAAAATTATATCCTCTGGCTCGGTGGAATAGGTGTTCGGCCGGCCTCCCTGTGGCACACTATGGAATGAAGCAATTATAGGTATGTAATCGATTTTCAACTGTCGCAAAGCACCGGTAAGACCTTCTAAGCTCTGAAAACTCACGAGAACGCCGTTGAAAGCGCGGATGCGACTGATGCGCAAAACTACATAAGTAATTGTTCTAACTCGAACACCAATGTACCTAATATAAAAGTGCACCGGTTTAGGGTTCCCCATCATTAAATTCGGTGTTAATTTACTGCCTAATACAAAATTCTTATTTTTTACTTAAATAAACCATAAAATTTCAAAGTAACTTATTATACTATTTTTTTAAGTTTTCAAGGTAACTTATTACAATATTTTCTGATATTGTCTTTGATATCCATAATAATTTCTTACATCAATATCAATTCAATCTAAGCTGCTACACAGTACTTCTGGAAGTCGAAAACTATAGGTACCAACGGTTCGCAAAACTACGGTGGGAGACCTTGTACTCCGAAGAACCGGCAAGAAACTCATCAAGAGCTGCTTTTTTCTCCGTCGTGCAAGATGTGAACTGAGATGAACAAACTAGTATACTGCCATACATTCATGTAAATTAAATAACATTTCAAATACGAAAATGTGCGATTCGATTGATTAACTCATCAAGTAAGATAATTGCAAAAAAATAAATAATTACATGCTCGCATAGCTTATGTGATTGATTAGTAATGCATATGAATAATAAAAATCTTTCGTCTTATACTTACATATGATTTTGTTGTTGGAGCCCGTCAATGTAATACTATTCAGTATAACTTTGATCTTTATTGAACTATACTCCATTCATTAAAGCATTAGACAGAATGAAAATAAGGTTCTTTTTATGGTATACTTTGTGACAAAATGTCAACAATCATGTTACTCTTAAGACTAACGGCTATTTTGATACATATCCATTAAAATACTAGCTGCTATACTTAACCGTTGTCTTTTAAGATATATATTTAACAAGTTTATGAGTATTTGACTGACTTAAAACATTTAATAATTATTACAATAAAAGTGTTCATCTTAAACAACCTAAACAAGCAGCGTTAGATAGTTTCGGCACGATTCTCATGTCACTATAACTCTGCCAAATTTAAAACATTGCCTAAGCCCTTCAAACGTTTCGACAGTACAGCTTTTGAATTTTGTAAGATTATGATTTATTCATAATAGTCAAAATACTAATGTAATCTGGGATTGTCATTCATTGTGAGTGCTACTGCCTTTCTTGTAGTTTTGCCATTTTCGGTGATTGAGTAATTACTGTTTTATTGTTGTTTATAGTTTTGTTTTAGTTGTTATCTTTTTAATCGCGATTCCGGTGCAGGCCCGAGTGGCCTACAACAATTAGGTACCTTTAACATTTCAGCAAGTTTTTCCAATGTCTTAATAAATAGTCTAATAATATCTGAATAAATGTTAACACAGTAATAATAAAAATTTCATTTTGTTTACCTTTATTTTCTGGGCATAGATATAACTAAATAATAGTCTAATTATATACACTTACAATTAGAATCCATCAAAACAACACATAGATAGTTTTATTTCCATGTTGGCTCTCAATAAAAGATGAAATTAGGAAATGCTAGTCTCATCTCAACCCCGAGAAAATATAAAATTGCCCAACTCTTTCAGTCTACCTAAAGTTCAAAATTTCAACAAAACTATTATAAATATTTGTAAAATTTATCTTGTAAATAAAATGTTCTACACTGCTACTTCTGAGATCCTCTTTTTTCTAATGTTATAATGAATGGAGTATAGGTACTCCATACGTTTCTATAGGCATCAATATAACAATATGATAGACCACCACTATTTTGCGTCATCGTGTTACAATGTTTGTAAATAATCGATTCATTCAAATCGTTATTTTACATCATCACATCCTTATCGGTGTTATTTCATAGAGCTGTAAAAGTAACGAATAAAACTGTACCCGTATGTATTCGTTACTCTAAATATCATTACTCGTTACTTTCGTATCGTTACGTTACTCGTTATTTCCAATACCTCATATTTATGTCAGAGCAACGAATCGAATCGTACAGTATGATATCGCAACATTCGTTATTTGTAGAAACGTTACTTAAATAAGTACTGAAAAATGTATTAATTCAAAAGCATCAAATGGGAGTAGAAAATCATTTATTTATAATAAAAATACACATTTTGGGGCAGGAATCTCTAGTTCATATTTAAAAATCCTTTCAGATGGTACCGAGGTAGGCATCACTGATAAATATTTCTCAGACATGTTTGAAAGTTCGGTGTATAAAAAATAATGCGTTCTTCTAGATAATGCCTCATGCAATAAATAGTTAAAACACAAGTGTCTCGATCATAATAACCCTTAAAAGATAAGAATTAAAAAAGAAAATACGCGATAATAATAAAACAGTATTGGTACTTGGTACATACGAAAAATGCGAGTAACGAAATGAAATCGTAACGTTTCGTTAATCGGTACTAGACGGCGCACCGTTATTACATACGATTTGCTACTGCTCTATTATTTCATTCAATATGGTAAAAAAAAAAGAGTGAATTCAGTCTAATTATTGTTATTTGTATTGTTTGAGTAAAGTTTCATGAAGTATATAGAAAATTCAATTAAATTCAACAAAAAACAGTAAAGGAAAAAAAATGGGTTAACAATAAATGTTCTCAAACCAGTAAAAATAAAAAGTAATTTATAAAGCAAATGAACATTGAAAACCGATACCGATCCATGTTCTCACTCAGCTCAGAAAGTTCAGAAAATAAACAGTAAAAATGGGTCGTACTCAAAGGAAAAGAAAGCGAATTAAGTCACGCAGCTTTCATAAGTGCGATGGTGAAACTAAATTAATTCAATTAAACTCTTGGCTGTCTAAAGAAGGCGTAAGACGGAATCATAAATTAATTCTGGCTGTGTTTGACGATACTGGTCGTGGAGTACTAACAAATAAAAAGATATCAGCAGGCGAAGAATTAATAACCTTACCCATAAATTCTACAATAAATGTGATTACTATTCTCTCAGACATTCCCTTTCGTAGTATATTTTCAAGGAATAATGAATGCTTATTGAAATTTAAAGCATCAGTATCTTTTCAATCTCTTTTGGCTTTCTATTTATCTTACTTAAAGTTGCGAGGCGCTAGAACTAAATGGTTTATATACTTGAACAGTTTACCAGAAGAATACACTGTGCCATACTTTTTACATAAAGACATACAAAATAATCTTGATGCAGATATATTTTCTATAATCTCTAAACAGAAAGTGATAATTCAAAATTCCTATTATATTTTTGAAAATATTTTGAGGACTTGTGTATGTGATGACAATTTTATACAACTTTTAAGGAGGAATTTTAACTTAAAATTATATGAATGGGCCTATTTCACTGTCAACACCAGGTGTGTCTATATGGACTTAACAAATGTGTTAGACTTAAAGAATATTCAATGTACTCTACTTAGTTTAGTAAATGATAATACCAAAATATCACTCTGTCCTTACCTAGATATGATAAATCATAGTCCTAATTCAAGAAATGAGACAAAATTAATGATACCAAAAGACTTTCCCAGTGTCGACATTATAAATTTACATCAAGAGTTTTTTTCTGATGTGTGGTTTTCAATTTACACTAAAAACAATTTTGATCCTTTTACTCAAGTGTTTATATGTTATGGAGATAGCCATAACTTAAAACTGATAACTGAGTATGGTTTTTTCTTACCTAACAATGAACTAGACTGTGTGTTATTTAGTTATGAAAATATTATTAATTTTTTAAGTTTGAACTCCTTTAAATTATCACAGGATCAAAGTTCTTTTGTTGATAGTCATGGGCTAAACAAAGATCTGTACATCGATTTTAGAGGTCTAAGTTTCAACCTTTACGGATTATTAATGGTTGTAAAGTATTATTATGATGATACTATAGATGTAAGTAGATTAATATATTCAGCCGCTGTAGGTTCTTATAACAAAGATTTAAATGACATGATAAAGCCAATGATTAAAAACAAACTTGATGAAATAAAAAAATCTATTAAAACACTTATTAATTATCAAAATAAATGTGTTATCATAGATAATTGTGTAGGTCTTATGAGTCAATATGTTAATATTTTAGAAAAGTTTATTAAATGTTAGTTGTACATATTGGATGTAAGTCTAGTTTTTATTAAAATACAATTAGTATTTTAAAATGTAATTTATCATTTTCAATAGGTTACAATGTGACAAGCTGATCGTCTGAATTAATTGCAAAAACATATCCTGTCGAATGTCGAAAATTATGTGAATAAATAAATAATAATAGAAATAGTCCATTTATTTAGTTGGTTATACCTGGGTATGGAATTTCAGTAATACTACAAGGGGTCCAACTTCTCATAAGTTAAATATTTTATTTTTGTTTCCATTAAAATGATAGACCCCGACAGACCCGATAAAACTCATTAAATTAAACTGTTTTACGTACATATTCGCGCCTTATTTTAATGAGAGATGTAACGGTATATCGGAAATCCGATACCTATATATCAACTCCCATAAATATCGATATCGAGAAATAATAACACATCGAATAAAATCTAAACAGTAAAAGTATCTCAGTTGTTCTAATTTTTAACATACAACAACAATATGTAATTGATAATCATATGTGAAATGCAGTTTTTAGTACATTTTTATAATTGCAATTTATGTTTGATTTGAATATTTAATTAATGTTGAATGAATATTTATTGAACACGTACACCATTTGACAAATTAAACATAATAATAAGAAAAGTGCCTAATGATAATACTGTAACTCAATATATAAATTTCATAATAATGCTTTCTTCCCAATGGCTGACTAAGGGGGATCCGGATCTTCAAACCCTCCGCTTGTAGATCCGGGCCTGATGCCTCCCCGGGCCTCTATTGGGTTAGTCCGCCATTGGTTCTTCCCATTCAAATTACAATCTATAAAGTAATAATATGACATTTTCTCATTGTAACCACGACCATGCCAGCCAGACACCTTTTTTCCAAAAGCAGCACGCATGGTATGACAAGGTCGAGAAACGCTTTGTCTACTTAAAATGTAATATCTAATTCGACCGAGATACATAACGAATTAGACCTTTACATATCTCGACCGAGAGTGAGGAGATACCGTAAGGGTGCATCCCCTAATTATAATACTACTCTTTGGGGTGCACTCAAGAAAAGTGACATTTGGGTGTAGATGAATCGCTCTCGAGTTGACCATGCTACCAAAATCACACGAAGTATAACGTTTTATATACATTTTTACAAACAAGATATTTTGAATATCCTTTAAACCTAAAACGTATTGATATGTCGTTTTTTGAAGCGTTACATAGATATCGACTGTAACCGATATATATTGAATTAGATATTTTTATTGAACCTTGCATTCCTAATATTGACAGTTAGCAGCGTTAGCATCCTAATGGTCTGTGGTTAGCCGTAAGTCTGTGGATGTGACCATGGCGGCTGCTTTGTTATCAAATAGAAATTTGAGTAAATTAATTAAAATTCGTATGAAACACTCCACAACAACAAATTATTATCGAGGAATAGTGTATCATAAACCTCCCCTGAATATAATTTATAAACAATGCGCAGTGACGAGTCATTTCAGGGCAAGTTTTTGTAGTTCATATAAATTTTAATTTATCAATTTTTTCGTGTTGACAAAGTTAATGTTTGTTTATAAGTTTATTAGTATTGATTATTTATCTCAATTTTTAGACTTATTCTTCAAATCACCCTAACAGTGTGGCAAGAGGGGATGCGGCTAAAAATGTCCTTACTGCGGTGTTAGCAAACAAACCCAAAACTGGAAAAATACCAGTTGGTAAGTGGCTGTTAGAATTTTAACCTTGCTCAACAATTAAATAAATGAATAGCTTAAGTTTTTGAATTTCATTAAATTATTTTTATGGCTATTTTAATATTACATAAGAAGATAATGGTGTTGACCTTGTTAATGAAATATTTTTTTTATCTGTGGAACAGTGTATTACAATTTTGACTGTGTGTACAAGTGTTAATTATATTTATATATAATAATTTTTGTCCCAGCCCTTAGATAGCTGTATTTATTCATATTACTAATTATATTCATAAATAAATAACTGACAAATTCTTGTTGGTTGTTCTGTTAGTTATAGAAAAGATCAACTCAATGGATTTTAAAATTTTACTGCCTATGTTACTGTAGTATTATTTTGTGTTTTGTATTATTGGTTGAGGATTATAATTAAGGCATTTGTGAAATAATTAAGTATCAGTGAAATTCATGAATATAGTAATTATGCTATAAGTATAGAGAATACTTATTGCGCTATAAGTATAGAGAGTACTCTTTAATTTTTACACTTTTGTACCTTATTATACAACGTGTAATATATTTAACACACATCCTGAAAGTAGTTTGTTTAAAATCAGATACTAATTTGATTTCAACAACTTCTAACATAGGTAATCTTTTTGATAAAATTAATAGGAATCGTGTATTATGGTCACCTGTAACCATTACAGCCATCACAAACAAAAAATAAACTCATGTGAATGTAATAAGGCTTTTTAACATGCACTATATTCATAGATTGTCATAAAATACAACCTAGAAAAGCAAAGAAAAAACAGCTTTCTTTTAATTCAAGGCATAGGAGTTAAAAATGCTCTATGATGCACAAGTTCATAAACCTAAGAGTAAAATAATGTACCACAAATAAACATTACAAATGCAACAATTATGACATGGCAGTGGATTATTTGTTTTAATGCAATTTAAGTTTATAGAAATTTCAATTTCATATGCAATGATTCTTCGTAATACTAACATACAGTAAATACATTGAAATGCTTAAGAGTTAAGCACAATGTGGTGATATTATGTTTGCCATGTGATATGTGACTGCAAGACTATGCTAGTTGATACTCATAACAAGTTTTTTTGTTCTGCTTGAATGTGATCAGGCTGTTGTTACTATTGTGTGGCATTAATGTCAAGTAGAGATATTCCCCATCAGGAGCAACTCTAATTGTTACTTAGCTTAGTCCAAGCTATGGTGGTCCAAAATGTGACACCGCTTTAATCTATTGATGTAGACTTGTATTTCCTTGAAAAGTTGTTCTTGACTGTCTTCATGCATAGGTACTCATGGACTTCTGTGTTTTTAATCAGGGCTTGGAAACCGGTTAATTTTTTGAACCGGTTCGATGTAAGTACATGCGAAACTTTACATAAGGTTCAGCTCCTTTGAACAGGTTTTTAAACCGGTTCACTAGAAATACGCTTTTCTTTATTAACCGGTTTAAATATGATTCCAAACAATGATCTCACAAACTTCAGCGCGGTTTTTAAGTGCCTTTATGTCGTCGCTTAAAAATGATATAATTCGCATTAAATGCGTAAGAACATTGCTTTTTACGAACCAAGCAAATTAACCGGTTTTTATTCCATCCGAATTTCACTCCGCATTTAGTTCTGATCTGGAACAGAACATTATAAAAGAACACGTTTTAATGCACCATGGTGGGTTGGATATTTGTTTTAATATATTGTTCTGTGTTCTTTGGATTTTTGATATGTTAGAGATAGAGATGGATCCCCACAGTTGGATACCATAGATCCATACAGGTTTTATGATCATATTGTAGATCAGCAGCTTATTGTCCAAGGACTGCTTTGAATTTTTACCCAGAGCTAGTACATGATTTTATACCTGAGATCTACTTCTTTATGCTTGGTTTCTATGTACTTTTGCCATGTTAAACGCTGGTCCAAGTACATGGTTTGGTGCTTTACACTGTTTACTTGCGTGAGTTGAGTATCACCCAAGTTTATGGAGGACATTTTTGTTGTTTTAAGGTAAAGGTGATCTGAACCGATTTTAATGAGCTGGCTCTTTTTCCCAATTTGTTCAGTCATTCACTAATGTCATTAAGGTTCTTTTGTAGATTTGTCGCGCGCTAAGACAGCAGTGTCGTCTGCATAGGTTACAATTGTAACAGCAGAGTGTGAGGGAGATCTGCCTTCAAAACAGTGTACAACACTGGACACTGAACAGAACCCTGTGGTGCACCGGCCAATATTTTACAGAAGTTGGAAGTCGCATCTTCCTTTTTTATCTGAAAAATTCTATCTGATAAGTATGATGCCAGAATAATATAGAATGAGTGAGGTAGATGTGTTTTTAATTTACTTAAGAGACTTTAGTGCCAGACCCTATCAAAGGCCTGTTGCAAGGCAAGAAACGCTGACGCACAGTATTGTTTTGTTTCTAAAACATTCTTGATCTCCTGGCAAACTGTGTATCTGCCCAACAGTACTATGCTTTGGCCGGAATCCAAACTGGTGATCTGGGATGAAAGACATTAAATTGAATAGTATGCAGTAATATCTTCTCAAACAATTTAGAAGGGGTTAGCAGTAAACTGATCGGCTGATATGACGTGACCTCATTGGGAGGTTTACCTGGTTTGTGGATCATGATAATTTATGAGAATTTCTATATCATTCTAATCTAAGTATGTTATTGAAAATGACTGTTAGTAACAATGTTGGCTAGTATGCCACACCCGACGAAGTCTGCTCTTTTGCAGAATCATTGTGGTATCGCGCTGTAGGTACATACATTCGTAGCAGGCTAAGCCGTAATTTTGAAGTAGTGTGGATTTGTAAGATTTCCAAACTTGCACAGCAATTCGTATAACTGTGTCCATACACAGATAATGATTTAGTACATAAGAGTAAAATTCCAATATACGTTTTATGATTAGAAATGCATTTTCTATTTGGGGTGTAAAAGGATGTGCGTTATTTCTATTACATGTTGTATACTCACTACAAAGTGCAAAGCGACCATGCTATAGGGGGCGTATGTTATTTTTGTATACTAACATTATTAATAATGTAATTGTTTCTGTTTTTCTGACACATTATAAATACATACAATATTATTATGTTTGGCAAATTTCACTGTTCTGACTAGTTTAGTAGCTAAGTAACGCTAGATCCCATTCGTATTTTATTTGCTAAATATTTATTTGTTTCATATACTGTGATCATTTAAAACATTTCTAAAAAAATATTCTAATAAAAGATTTTATACTATCTATTGCATGTTATTAAAAAATATTGCGTTGAGTCTATAAATACTGAAATCTATTTCAACTCTGATTTAATATCAATAATGTATCGTCTTTTTGTATATTACCTTGATTACCTTAATATTATAATAACTTTAATTTAGTTCCATTACACAAATTATGTTGTCATCATTGTTTTTTGTATGCTAATTTCCATTTCTGTTTTACTAATACTTGGTTGATAGCAGTTCTCGCACGCATCCTTGTATAAAGTCCGCTTTTTCCCTCCTATTTTTGTTACCTATCCTACACTCCTGATTTTATCTCTCCTACACCCAGGTATCCAAAAACGGGACTGCTTTCACCCAGGTGCTTCTGTTTTATCTCGTGAAGATATAAATCTGGGGGATGCCAAACCGGTGTCAGGAGCTGATATGTTTAGGGGCATGCTGGAGTATATATGGCCAAAGGTTAGTGGATATTTTTTCTTTAAAATACTTAACAAATATCTAAAAAAGGGCATCGAATCTTGTTCATAATTAAGGGTATAATACTTAAAACTGTGACTATTTTTCTTTAATTAATTTATTTTCCTGTGAGGAAAATAAATTAAGTCCGAATAAGAAAGATAGAATTAGTTTATTGTTATATTTTACAGGACAATCAAATGATTAGAAACCGAGTGATGCTATCTCTCTCACTTCTGTTTGGAGCAAAAGTGATAAACGTTACTGTCCCCTTCCTCTTCAAATATGCCGTAGACGAGGTGAACCAGGCTACGATGACACCAGCAGGAGATGCTTTGTTAGGGATGGCAACAGTTCCTCAAGCATTGGGCACGGCTGCATTTAGTTTATTAGTTGGGTGTAAGTTATGATATTATTTTAATCATATACATCAATGTTGGTATGTATGTTGGTAATTAGGTAGAGTTATTTATGTACTTGCATCGAAATGTTGATATTAATATAGACCTTCCCGGGATTTCTTTATTTCTTTCTTGGCAACGTCGTGCGTGCAGTAGTTTAAATTGTGTAAAAGTAAATAACTTTTTATTTAAAAAATCACGGGAATTTTCTGCTCTTTAAAATTAATCTCGGGATTTGAGGCATATCCACTTTATTCTTTCGCTGTGTGAAATCAGTGTAAGTACATGAATAACTCTACCTAATTCCGACCACTGGTTATCACATTTGTATTCTAATGGTAAAAAATATTTTAAATGGTTCAGTAGTTTCGGAGCCTATTCAAACTTAATATTAGGTCCTTACATATGAAATTGGTGTTTGGTATGGGAGGAACAAAAAGACGAATATTTTTTAATAAAATATATTTATTTAATCAAGGTATAAATCATTGTTATCTATGCACTTTTGCCATCTCATAGATAGTTCATTGATCCTTTTACTATAAAAACCATTCGGACGGGAATCAATAAAATCTTTGAAGGCGATTTGCACTGCCCAATCGGAGTTGAATTTTTCCTTGCAAGAAGTTATCCAAATTCCAAAAAAATGGTAATCTGTTGGAGCAAGGTCCGTGGAGTACGGTGGATGTCTTAGACATTCCAATTGAAGCTCTTCTAATTTGGTAGCCGTTTGTTGTGCAGTGTGTGGGCTAGCGTTGTCGTGAATTAGCAGTGGCGTAGAGCGATTGATCAGCCCTGGTTCTTTAACAGCTAGTTTTTCCAGCATGGTTTGCAATTGCTGACAATAGACGTCTGCTATAATTGTCTGGCCAGATTTGAGAAAACTGTAATGAACGACACCGGCACTAGGTCACCAAACGCTTACAAGTAACATTTTTGGGGTCAATTTTCGCTTGGGACAGGATTTGGCTGGCATGCCAGGGTCCAACCATTGCGATCAGCACTTCCGATTATCGTAGAGAATCCACTTTTCATCACAGGTAATGATTCGATTTAAAAACCCTTAATTATTATGCCGGTTAAGTAATGTAACGCAGCAGTAGAAGCGCGTTTGCCGGTTTGCTTCACTCAGTTCGTGAGGTACCCACATTTCAAGCTTTTTAATCTTTCTAATTAGCTTCAAGTGGATTAAAACAGTTTTATCACTAACACTGCAGCCTGCAGCTAACTCGGACGTAGTTTGCGATGGATCCGCTTCCACAATAGCCTTCAATTCTTCTTTATTAACTTGGGTCTTTGGCCGTCCACGGGGTTGTTCTGTAGGTCGAAATTTCCAAAACGAAAGCGTTGGAACAAAAAACGCACTGTGTGTGTCTTTTGCGACACAACCGCCATACACATCATCAACCCTTCGAGCCGTTTCCGCAGTACTGGTACCACGGTGGAACTCGTACTCGTAAATAACACGATATTTCAAGTTTTCAATTTTTTAATCTGGGTAACGTAAATAGGACAAACAGAAGAAAAAAAAAAATCAAATGACTGCCGCCTAACAAAACACAAATACATGTGTAAATGGCTGTACAAATTTGAATTTGGAATTTCCACCCAAGGTGGACAAATTTGTGATTAAAGTGTCCAGTACGACAAAACGCCAATTTCATATGTAAGGTCCTAATATTACATAAGTACATACTATAAAAGTATGGATAAGCATTATGGACAGTATTATGGCGTGAACAGCAGGTTTGATAGGCGAATGTTAACGCGACAGATAAACGAAAATACACTCTAAAAAAAAAATTGTTAAATCAAACAATATTGTGATATATGTGACCAAGCATCTTGTTTCCATATGAGCCTGACAAGATGTTAGATACATTAAATAAGATGGTTTTTATTATTTTTACTATAGTTACTTTGTTAAGATAGTTAAGATTTCATTCAATTTGATCATTATAAATAACTATAGCAACTACCTCCTAGTCTTCAATTTAAATAAGATCGTAGACGATATGTCTATGATATGTGACTGTATGAACAATTTACCACAGTTGATTCAACCAAGAGGTTGGTAAAAATTAACATGAAACGTGGCTAAACTAATCAATTTACGAAAGTTAATTTGACCAAAGAGTTGGTCAATTTAACCATGAAATATGTACTTGCCAATTTACCGTAGTTCTTTCAACCGATTGGTTAATCAATATAAGCATGAAACATCGTTGTACTAACCAATTTACCGAAGTTAATTCAACCAACATGTTGGTCGATATTAATATGACACTTGGTTGTTTCAAACAATTTACCGAAGATAATACTACCAAAAGATTGGTCAATTTAAGCATGAGATATGATTATATTAATCGATCTACCAATGGTAATTCAACCAAGACAACCAACGACTTTAGCCGTTTGATCATTCTGAACTTTTGGTCCGAAGAGAATCAGATTTTAAACTCGGACTACAGCTCAGAGCCTAACCAAAGAGCTAAAGTAAATAACTGGAATGGTTGGTTTCGAATCCCATATTAAGTTTAGTATAAACGGCATATTACTTATACAATCTAACGATATAAACTGATACCGCGATGCATTAAATGAACAACGCCATCTAGTTTGCAGACTTAAAACATTCGGGCACCTATGAAGATGACGGGCGTGTTTCATATTAATATCGACCAACATGTTGGTTGAATTAATCTTTTTCATAACAATATTCAAACAATATTCGGGCACCTATGAAGATGACGGGCGTGTTTCATATTAATATCGACCAACATGTTGGTTGAATTAATCTTTTTCATAACAATATTCAAACAATATTCTCGCAATAGAAAAGTGAATTTGATAAGTTTGTGTGGATTTAACAAAGTCACTCTTTGTTGGCACTCGCTTTTCTTAGTTGATTCATATAAGACAGTATTTAAATCAATCAGAATTTGATAATTATTTTAGCAAATACATTGTTAGTAGCATGAACAGCTTAATTTTAGTTAGTCCAATAATGTCAAGTAGTTACCATTAATCATTCATGTTTTTGAATTGACTAAATAGTCTTTGTTGTTTGAAAAACAAAGGGTTTTTTTGGTTCTACTAACGTTCTTTGTTAAACCAAATACGAGAACTTATTACTGCAACAATAAAAATCGTGTAATCTATTACTTTACCTATTTATTTTGATTAATTTGTATAAATTGCTTCAACATACTTAGTTGTTAAATTTAACTATTAAAAATAATCGATTCACACAAAAAAATCCAGTAATGATAGATACGATAAATATATTTGATAGAATTAATCAGGGTTACCAAATCTTTAATTTAACCATACTTTAACTAGTTGGTTCAATGTTTCAGCTTTGATTGATTTATGTAAATAAGTAATTGTTTTATTCAATATTATGTCAACCAAGAGAAAATCGCTTTTTGTTGGCCTCCATTTTTTAGAGTGTAAGATTGTTTAATAAGACAAAGTGGAACACTATATATATATATATATTTTATTAATTTTTAGATGGTATAGCTCGCGCCACAGCGGCAGGATTTAATGAGCTGCGTAATGCGGTGTTTGCAAAAGTTGCTCAACATTCGATAAGGAAACTGGCGTGTAATGTGTTCATGCATTTGCACAATCTTGATTTGAGTTTTCATCTGGGAAGACAGACAGGGGCTTTATCGAAGGTAACATTTTGCTATATTTCGCTATTTCTTAATTTATTGCTCATTGTATTTTGAGGAATTTCGAATTCACTACTATACCATACGTATACTTGATTGATTAATGTTAATAGTGAATTTAATTTTAATGTTTGTTTTTACTATAATAATTAAACATGAATATAGATAGATATATTTTTTATCCCGTCGGGATCACTTAATAAACTTGATTTTTTGCCTAGTTTGGTACCCAGACAGAAAGAAAAATTACGTAATGAATTTTTTTTTTTTCAGACCATAGACAGAGGATCACGCGCCATAAACTTTGTCCTGTCAGCGATGGTGTTCAATATTGTACCGACAGTGTTCGAGTTGGCGTTGGTTACGAGTATATTGGGCTTAAAAGGCGGAGTTGCGTTTGCAGGTAAGCTAAAGTAGAAAGTTAGGAGCCACTCGTGTTAGAGTGCTCCCTTACTCGGACTATTTTAAATTAATCACTGAGCTACTTAGCTCTTGACAGGTATGGTGAATTTTTCAAGCTATTTTTCGCTACTACAGAGCGTATTTTGATCAATGTTCAGACCCAAACAGCCGATAGAAATATATTAGGTACAAATATTTTTAACTTTCAATTAAGATAAAAAATTTGTTCTTATTATAATTTTATATTTTATCGATTTTGCATTAATTTTCGATTAAGATGAAAATTTGTTTTAATTATTATAATTCATAAATTTTGATTTCACAATGTTATAATGGAAAATATTCTTAATAACAAATGCTTAAAAAATCATTTATAGCAAAATTGATAAAATATCATAAAAATATACGATACTAGCTTTCCGCCAGCGACTTTGTCCGCTTCGGGAACTTTTTATTTGGATATCGATTCGTATCGCGGCACTATGGCAAAGTTCTAAATTCCCATACAAACTTCCACTCTCATTTGATCCCTTTATTTTTTTGTTTTTCGGGATAACATATAGCCTATGTTCACCGCACGTGATGTAGCTTCCCGCACGTGAAAGAATTTTTAAAATCGGTCCAGCAGTTTCGTTGGGCAAATCTTATTGATAAATCATAAGCCATGGCCGTGCGGCGGCAGGTCTGGCGTTCGGGTGCGTGGGCGTGTACGCGGCGTTCACGCTGGCGGTGACGCAGTGGCGCACGCAGTTCCGCGTGCACATGAACCGCGCCGAGAACGAGGCCGGCAACAAGGCCGTCGACTCGCTCATCAACTACGAGACCGTCAAGGTGACTCACCTCGCATCGCCTATGTCTCACTACCGACATTTTTTAGTTGTCTGTTAAGTTTTAATGACGCCTTTAAGCTCTAATGAATGTCATATTTTTATGGGTAATGTTGCTTTAAACTAATTAAGCTTTTAATGGATATGCAACTGACTGTGTGGGTAACGATACAGGGAGGAAAATTGTTTTTTTTTCAGGATGAGCTCTCCCGCCGTAGATTCGCGCACTGATGGCGTAGCTTTCGATATTCGCGAGCGCTCGGAACGGCTCAGACTGAATGAATGATATTGAATTTGATTTTAAGCGATTGAGTACGTTTGGGTGACCAAAAAATTATTAGCTCCTCCGGCTTCGGAAGGCTCGTTAAGCCGTTGGTCCCGGCTGCATTTGTAGTCGTTAGTACCCTCCAATCCGTATTGGGCCAGTGTGAAGGGTCATGGCCCATCCTCCTTAACCATCCATAAGGATAGCCTGAGCTTCTGCAGTGGGGACGTAAAAGGGCTGATGATAATGATGATGAGTATGTGTTAAAATACACAAATAAGTAACTACTTATTTGCAAGTACTTATGAGCTTGATTAGAATAAAGTTTTAACTAGCTTCTTATTTGTTATTTGTGTTTACACGTATTGATCACTTAAACTATCTAATAAGGAGAGCAGAAAAGTTTCATTTTGCCATTATGGATCCTACCGTGGAACGGGGTCTTCGTGATGTCAAATATCACACTTTTTCAGTGAGCTGCGTGCGATTTTCTAATAGTTGATACCTGATATTCATTGAACCAACTATGAATTACGAGTCGATAAATGTCAGTGCTTTAAAACCGGGAGACCTACTCTGCTAATATTTAATAAAATCTCTACCAGTTCTATTTTGCCATTAGGAATACTATATACCTTAAGTCCTATATCATTAGTACAATGTCTTCCTCACACAACAATGGTGACAGATATATAATAATATTGAACTTCAGGTAGTTTAGATGCGATTATTACCTACACTTTAGCAGAATTGACTGCTGAGCTAAGAAAGAGAGGTGTAAAATTAAGGGAGTTGAAAGGACAATTCAGAGATTAGCCTTTATTGGGTATGCTCGATATTTTTTAGTCTTTATTGGGTATGCTCGATATTTTAAATATTTTTTTTTATTTATGTTAACGCTCGTAGTTAACAAACTTTGGCAGGACCTCTGACAACTGTCGCGCAATCTGGTGAGCAGAAAACGGTAGCCCTCATTCATTCATTAATTTCATTCAACATGACATGTCGAATGTCAAAACATGTCAACCATAGAATTTAGCAACGAGTTATAAATTTCAATTTTATTAACAAACTAAATACGTTAGTTACAATTTTTAGTAGTAATTGGTGGATACCGCTTATTTTTTAGTTGTTTATTTGGTTAGTTTTATTTGTAGGTAAATTATGTCATTTTTTTTAGTATTTCAACAATGAAAAATACGAGCTGCAGAAATACGACGCGAGCTTAAAGAAATACGAAGAGGCCTCTCTGAAGACTGCTTCAAGTTTGGCCTTGTTGAACTTCGGCCAACACGCCATATTCAGTGGCGGCCTTAGCATGATCATGATATTGGCCGCGAATGAAATCGCTAAAGGTGGGTAACAGTAAACATAACTTATTTATAGAACTGTTAGGGAATGTAAGATTTTGTTCTGTATAGTCTGTGGTAAGAACTCTACAGTTATGTAGTCTGTGCTCTTCCTTATCCGCCGGCTGCTGTAAAAGATGTGTCGTGAATAAAAGTTGATTTGTGAATTGTATTTATTATTAAGAAATAAAGTTTTTATCTAAAGCTTACTTAGTACAGCTTTGTCTAGTGAACGCGGAACTTTAACTAATGCGAAACGTTGGAAAAATTAAATCATTTTCAAAAATACGCAGCAGTAACGCGTTTCAAATAGCTGTATATAACAAGTTTATAGTTATTATGAAGAAGCCGCCTCTTTTTTTAGCGCTCATAGTTTAGGCACTGCTGTCGGCCGGTTTCTGAATTGAGAAAAGTACAAAATCGCAACTAATTATTATCAATAACTTAATTATTTTTTATGTTTCACGTGGCAAAAAGTAATACTTTTATCAAACTGCTATCAAGTGATAATAAAAAAAATTCAAATCAGAAACAAAAACTTGTTTACGTGACGTTTAAGAGGGTACTAACGGTTTGAGAAATGCTTAACTTTAAATTGTCAATTCAGAAACACACATTGGTGACTCTTTTATCGCTACATCTCGGTATAAATATTTCTGTGTGGAACATTCATGTCCACAATAATATTGCATCTTATGTGACACAATAAATATTGTCATTATTACATTTAAATACTTCAAAATCCGTATGAAGTCACGGTTAATTTACTCCTATTTTTAGATTAGTCGGTATATCTGTGTTAATTGAAGAGTTCGTCTTGGAAAAAGCACTCAAGATAGACTAGGGAACTAATTGTTTAATTTCAAAATGTATCGCAATTTTTTTAACGTTGACATTTGAAAGACATTCACGACCTCTTAACTATTTGACATGTGATGGCGATAGGCATGGAAGTGTTGAATACTAACTGCAATATTTCGACGGGTTTGATCAAGTTTTTTTTTATGTTTCTTGAATAATCAAACTATCCGTTTCAAAAGCGATGGCAATTAAATAATATGATATGATTGGATGTCGACATCAGTGTCGCCATCTTGCGACACTCAAAGGCGAACACGTGCAATACGGCGACTATGTAGCTGAAACTGACCGAACGTGGCGGTTTTCGTCGATAACTAATACAAGTGTGGACTAAAATGATATTCTTGGTATATCGCCCATGAAGAGTCAATAAATAATAACTGATATTTTGTCAATTTTTGTTTTATTGAATTATTCGTTGTAAAATAGATTACTACACAACAGTGACAAAGATTTTGGGTTCGTTTCTTATGTTTTTGTAAGATAAACAATAATTGCAATGTACTGAAAAAACCAATATAATAGATTTGAAACGTTTTTTTCGTCTCCTGAAAAGTTGCATTTTTGCAGTTATTATTTATTGACTCTTAATAGACGATATGTTTCTATGAGAACAGTTAAGTTTTATTATAAGAATATTTAAACAAAGAGTAACAGTCGTGACTTTAAAAGGTACATAATTTTATAAATCGTGATCGATTATCTTTGAAATGGTTTGTGATAGATTTTTAAATTAAACAATTAGTCTTCTTTACTCAGTATTTTACTACACAGTTTTTGACACACACTATTTTATGCGATTATTGGCCGCGCCTCGTATCTGGCAATCCTAGGCCCGCCAGACTGTCTTATTTCAAAATATATCACTGTCTTTCAAAGGTACAGCGATTGCAATAGTGATATATGGAATTATGTAACGTTTAAAGTCGCTAAAGATTTTGGAACTAATGATAATTTTAATGATCTAGAGACAATAAAAAACTGAGTAAATTATACTAATAGTAGTGTTTGCGTCTAACGCTTGCTTTAGGGCCCGTCCATTAATCACGTGGGGCTCGAAGGGGGGGGGGGGGGGGAATCGTCAATAATCACGTGTATGAATTTTTTCCTCGACGCACTATTATTAAACCGAAAAGCGACGTCAAAAATTTGATTCAAAGATTTTTGTTCTTTTTTTCACGTGATTAATGGAGTTCAATCTCTTAATAAACAAATATTGACAGGAGCTCTTGCGACTGTCTCGCCATCTGGTGAGCGAAATACGGTGGCCCTCGTTAACGTGAAATCAACAATACCGTTTATTTACCGAAGATTAGATCTCGGGTCTAGTGTGGGCGTGGCTTTAGGTGGGTGTGTGATGTACTGCAGTCGTATATGGTTATATGCGTGGTGCGTAGGTAACATGTCGGTGGGCGACCTGGTGATGGTGAACGGTCTGCTGTTCCAGCTGTCGGTGCCGCTGGGCTTCCTCGGGTCCGTGTACCGCGAGGTGCGCCAGGCGCTCGTGGACATGCAGACCATGTTCACGCTCATGACCGTGCAGTCCAGGGTCAAGGTAACTGCCTCGCTAACACTCACACGGCACTCGCTGTACGCTGTATTAGCTAACCTGGGCCTTATTGCAACGCGGTCCTTGATTGCCACAGGAATACCTATATCATACACACGGACTATCGTCATCGTCAGCCTCGGCTCAAGCTCAGACTTTTCTTATGATTTCCTTATGGTTACCGATGTTCTTGCCGGTTCTTCTCGGTACAAGGTCTGTCTCCCGCCGTAGATTTACGAACCGATGGTGTAGCTCTCGATTTTCAATAATTTTGATTTGATTTGAAGGTTAAGGAGGATGGACTATCCCCTTTGACCTGACAAATGATAGGATGTGACGAATCTCAGTGGAAATTTAAACTGAGCAGATGAGTGTGTAAGGGATGCCTGAGTTTCAGCCAATCAGAGAGCAATTTAATAATCAAAATTCAATAAACACGCATTTAAAACGTATTATATTCTATTTCAATAAATTAAACCTCGCCTCCTATTTATTGAATTGTGACGTCACTGTTCGAAATGTCACGTCGCTGATTATTTTCCTGGGACAATTTAAATCTTTCTATCATTAATGAAGTAATACTTTTGAAGAAAAAGAAATCTGATGGTGATTTAATATTATCAAATAAAAGATTGAACATATTTTTCCAGTATTGTTCAAGTAGATGATTCTATATTTGTTTTCTTTTTCTAGGAAATAGATAAAGCACCCCCTCTTATGATAGATACTAACTCAGCGACCATAGAATTCAAAAACGTCAACTTTAAATATATAAACGGGAAGCCAATTTTCAACAATCTGAATTTGACGATTCCCGCGGGCCAAAAGATAGGCATCGTTGGTGGTTCCGGCAGCGGGTGAGTATGATTGTGTTGAGATTTTTTTCTCATTTTTCCAAAATGTAATTTCTGCCCTCAATAACTATACACAAATAGACACGATGTTAGGGTAACTACAGTACAAGACCAACAAAAACACATTTCAACTAGTCACGTGTTCTCTTTATTTGAATTCAAACGTATTTCTGTCGTTTTTAAAATACAAATCTTCATCTTCTATTTCAACCCCTTTTTTTCGCGATAAAATGTTTCAAATCAAATCAAAAATATTTATTTGGTACTTACACATAGGACACTTACAGATAACCAACAGAGAATCAAAATTAACAGAAAACACAAAAGACAAAAATTAATAATATTTGAGTAGTAATAATAATAGTGATGCGTGTCCCACAGTTGCACCAAAAAGGTGTCTCGCTCAGCATATGTCGATCTCTTTTACTTATTAAAAGCAAAAAGAGACCGACGCTGATTTTCAGCTAGACCGTTCAAATCTGTCACGCGGATGCAAGGACGGTTATGTATAATATACTTTGATATATATAATATATATATAACGGCGGGTAGTCCGAAGGTGCTATTACGAAGCCCAAATAGATTGTCCATATCGGAGGACTATCTTTAAAATAACACTGCAGGCGTGTATACCAACGTGGATTTGTTCCATTTTATAACTTTTCACACGAAAATATAACGAGATGAGCGTGATGTCGGCAGATGTCTTTACTCCTCGGCGATCGGAAACAGAATGTGTGCCAAAATGGCGGCAACTTGCTTTTTATTAACGAACTGTCAAAGTCAGTGTCACCATTCTAATAAAATTAAGGGTATCGATGATCACGCTCTCTTTACAATCGAGTAACTAGCAATTAAAATAAAAGAAACTAAATCAAACGATCTTCGTAATGATGCTGCGACATATATAAATACACACATAATTATAATTTTAATAAATAAGATAAGGAAACAAATATTTTAAGATATCACATAAATTAACAATATATACGCGAGACGGCCATGACCTTTCTCAGCCTCAACTCTTATCTTTATAACAAGTTTCATTTAAATAAGGTGGTTTAGGCGTGACACTGTAGCAGACAGACCTGTCCAGCCTACCTTTCGGTTGCCTGGAAGATATTGCTTTTTAGCGATAAGGTGATCTGTACAATAAAATGTCCCTTCATTCATTCAGACAGACCTGTCTGTCTTTCTCAGACGTACTTTCATATTTATAATATTAGTAGGTATACCAAAATCCGTCTTATATTACAATTACCCCTAGTTGGATACTTTATTTACAAGCTGGAAATAAAATTTTAAACTAATAAAAACTACAGTAAACTCACCTTGTATACCAAATAAATTGCACTATATTCAGTGGCGGACTACACCCCCCCCCCCCCCCCCTAAAAAAAATGTATATGAAAATTATCAACTGTAACGTTTGTTGATTACTTGTTTTGTTTTTATTCATTTAGCAAATCAACTTTAGTGCGTCTATTATACCGTTTCTTCGAGCCTCAGTCCGGTGAAATATTGGTTGGAGGGCAGAATATCAAAGATGTCGAGTTGGCCACACTCAGGAGAGCTATAGCGATAGTTCCACAGGTTAGTTTATTGTGAACAAATCATATTTTTCTATCTAGGGGGTCCGACGAACTTCTTTCCGTCCAAGAAATTTGAGTGTAAAAATATATAAACTTCTTCGTTCCGCCTAACAGTCAATTAATGAGCAAAAGAAATCAAAAGGCATTTTCTGTACCATATTGCGTCACAATTACATAATTACCAGTAACAGTGGCGCAAGTTTTATTATATATGTATTTCCCACTGGTTTTTAAGCTATATTTTTGATCGAATTAAAAGTGATAATAAATAGTTAACTATTTGTCTATTTCCATAAACAAATGCAAATCTGGATAAAACGCTCCGTATCCAATTGACTTTGCTTTCATAAACTGAAAATCTAAATATCTTCCTTTAGCTACCGTCGAAGTTTACAAGTGCATAATTATAGTGTGATTATCTAGCAATAATATATTAAACACTACTAGAAAAACAAAATATTTGTAAATATATTTATTTTCGTTTACTGTCTCCACCCATATTAAAAATCAATAGAATATGGGGGGGGGCTTTATTTTTTTTCGAATATCTTAATAATGCGGTCAAATTATGATAAAATCTTGATGGTAGTGAAAAGTTAAATAAAAACTTGATTCGTTGAAAGTAAATATGGGTTGACGCAAGTTTGTACGAATCCTTATACAAAAAAGGCATTCTCCTTAAGGATTTATCCATAATTTCAAATAATCATAGACATAGAGTTGCGTTTTATTATGAAAATTCACTATTGTCATAAATTTTTTGAGTGTTTTATAATTTATTATTATTGTTGGTAGCCGTTCTCGAGTTATGAATAGTGTAACTAACATGACTTTCTTTTATATATACAGATTATATAATAGCAATGTAAACAATTTTCAGATCCCAAGTCAATTAGCTAGTCTTGTTTTATGTATACTAATATCTTGTCCTAGACATGTAACCCAAGGTAGTATAAAAAAGCTCCTTTTCGTTAAACTGACCACGGATTGGATCTAAAAATTAAATATTTTTTGATTTTTTAAATGACATAATAGAGTTTTTCATATTTATTTTTTTTTAAAAGGAAAACAAAGGAATAAGTTATTAATTACTTATTTATAATGGCGCAAACATTAATATTAACAGAGCGAGCCTGAAATTCTTTCGCTAAGCGCGAACCGTGTTTGCTTTTAGTTTTTTATTGTTATTAAATTATAACCTAAACAATTAAGAATTTTCGTTACAGGATTGTGTACTATTCCACGACACGATATACCACAATTTGCATTACGGCGATCTGACGAAATCAGCCGAGGAAGTGTACCAGGCGAGCAAAATGGCCGAAATGCATGATTCTGTTATAACATGGCCGAAGGTATCGTTAAATATCATCGCAAAATATCATTAGAACTTTATATTTAGCTATAACGCTTGGTGGCGTTGTAGATAAGCGCCGCGGCCCGCGATCGTTGTCGATAAGCAACTTTCGCAAGGGTCGGTCACGGGATGGGTGACCAAAAAATTATTATCTCGAGCTACTCTGTGCTTCGGAAGGCACGTTAAGCCGTAGGTCCCGGCTGCATTTGCAGTCGTTAATACCCTCCTATCCGCATTGGGCCAGCGTGGAGGGTCATGGCCCATCCTCCTTATCCTTCCATAAGGAAGGCCCGAGCCCCTGCAGTGGGGACGTAAAAGGGCTGGTGATGATGATATGAAATGAAAAATTAAATGTATTTTACAGATATGTATATATTGGGAAGAACATACTATACTCATTGAACGGTAACATGGCAACAAGAGATAATAAAACAGAATTTATGCGAACATTCTCAGACATGAGACGTCATCGTATAAAATATCTATTTATTCTATTAGATCTCATATATGGAATGTGAAACAATAAATAAAATAAATATTTATAATATCTGTCAACTATTAATATATTGTAAAATTATAATATTACCGATTTTCAGTAATATAAATATTGGTGTATATCCGTAATATTCGTGTAGGGTTACGACACACAAGTGGGCGAGCGTGGATTAAAATTATCCGGCGGTGAGAAGCAACGTGTGGCCATCGCGCGAGCGATACTAAAAAACTCTCCCATCATAGTGTTCGACGAGGCTACCTCCAGTCTAGATTCTATCACCGAAAACGTGAGTATATTTGTCTTAGTTAACATACTCAACGATTGCCTATAGTGCCCACGAGAAAGTGGTCTCGTCGGGGTCGGTCACGGGATGGATGACCAAAATAATGCTTATCTCGAGCTACTCCGTTCTTTGGAAGGCACTATAAGTCGTCGGTCGTGGCTGCTTTTGAAATGAAATGATAATATCTTTATTCAAGTAGGCTTATGACAAGCACTTTTAAATCGTCCAAAAAAAATCTTTCCCGTAACACTCATTCAGGACGTCTTTTAGCTGATAAAAAGAACAAGCGAAAGAAACTTACCAGCTCTTTATCATAAGTACTGACATTTATATAAATCATGTCATTACCAAAATAATAAATACAACTTTTAAAGTTTGTAGGTCATAGGTTGGATATATTATTAGTCTTTATAGAACAAAGCGAAGGCTATTAATTCCATGCATTGCGATCTTTAAAATAATCATCAACTTTATAATAGCCTTTACTCATAAGTATATTCTTTATATGAATTTTAAATTTATTTATGGGTAGGTCAACTACATTTTGAGGAACTTTATTGTACATAGCAATGCATTTACCCAGAAATGATCCTCTGGTTATTTGAAGTCTGAAGCTTGGAGCGGCAAGTTTATTTTTATTTCTTGTGTTAAGATTATGAACATTCTTTTTTTTGTGAAGGAATCGTAATGTTTTCTTGTGTACATAATATTTTCATAGATGTATTGAGAGGCAACAGTCGAAATATATATTTTATTTGCAGCCGTTAATACCCTCCAATGTGCATTAATGTAGTATGAAGGGTATCCATAAGTTAATAAATTTAATTATCTATTTTTAATTTCATGTAAATTAAATTTAAACTATAACCCTTGTTTTTACTTTGAATGTGACATTTTAAACGCATTGTTATTTTCTTAGAATTTATTTAATCATAATTATTTTTTTCTCTCTATTTGTAATATATTGATGTGTTAATGACATGGTTTTTGTGAATGTCATTACTCCTGTTAGAGTCACTTGCTCGTTTTTATCAGTCAAAAAGCGTAGTAGGTAAAAAAAAAATGTTCGCCTATTCAAAACTACTCTCAAGAAGTCCATTCGGATAAAGATAACATTGTCACATGTACGAGAACTTAATGTACGTTCGTAAAAATATTGGTTTGTTTTCTATATAAAGTGATGTACACAATATTAATACAAGAAATAAAAATAAATTAACGGTGCCTGTCATTAGACTATAAAAAGTTAATAACTCATTCAAGGGTCTTTGTGTGCGCTTCTACAATAAGGTCCCAAGCAAAATACAACAATTAGATATCATGCAGTTTAAATCTACTATTAAAATAATACTTATTAAAAAAGTTTACTATAAGGTATCCGATTATATAACAGATAAGAATGTTTGGACTCGAGATGATCCAGCAACTGGATAGGTGATTACTTTTTAACTCATTATATATCAAAAATTATCTTGCTTCCATTATTATTAAATGATTATGTTATCATTATAAGACCATATTTTTTTTTTTCTATCTCTGTTTATAGTGTATAAATCTGGTAATGACATGGTTTTTGTAAATGTCATTACTCTTATCAGAGCTGGTGAGTTTCTCGCTCGTTCTTCTTATCAGCCAAAAGACGTCCTGAACGAGCGGTAGGGAAAAAAAACTTCTTTTAAGAAGTCCATTCGGATAAAGATAACGCGACCGCCTAACGTCCGTCGCTCAGGCGATCCTGCAGGCGCTGCGCGCGGCCACCTTGGGGCGCACGTCCGTGTGCATCGCGCACCGGCTGGCCACGGTGGCGGACGCGGACCGCATCGTGGTGCTGCAGCGCGGCCGCGTGGCGCACGCCGGCACGCACCGGCAGCTGCTGGCCGACCGCGCCTCGCTCTACTACCGCCTGTGGCACGCGCAGACGCACGACCGGGACGTACCCCCCACCCCCACCGCGTAGTCGCCGATATCAGCGGACAAGTCTATGCGGACGGGAACCATGCGCCGGATCTAGCGAAAACATTTTTTTTTTATGTGAATTTATGAGATATAAACTCAATTCGTAGCGCTGTGAATTTATCAGATATAAATTCATACGCTGAGAAGCGAAATAGCTAAACATTTTTTAGTATGGCACTCTGTTTAGTATAGTACTGTGAATGGAAAATTTATCGAATATAATAAAAAAAAAAGACAATTTTTGTACAACTCCGTATAGAATGAAACCATTATCTAGCGAAACGTGTTTCATACGCTGAGAAGCGAAATAACAAAACATTTTTTTTTTAGTTAAGAATTTTTTTTAGGGTAGCGCCGTGAATTCAAAATTTATCAGATATAAAAGACGAATGTTACATAAAGCAAAAAGTACCGAACAGCTCCATGTAGCATGAGAACAATTTTTATGTCATCTAAGTAAGTTCATGGTTGCATTGCTGGATTTAGCAAATAAGATTCGAGGTATTATCGCAATCGCAGTAATATCATTATCGACCCTCTATTTTTGTTTATACCACTAAAACAAGAAATACTTTTTTTTCTTGACATTTTACCAAAAACCTATTTTTCTCAAAACATCTCGTGGGTTGGAGCTGGTTTGCATAACTGCGTCCAATTCAGCAATACAATTAAATTCGAATGGAAGAATAATGATATATTCACTTAACAAGATTTGAATTCTGTAAAAATAGATTCCAACATGAGTAGCTAAATATTTTTTTGTAATTTGATGAAAGAATTGATATCTACATTGTTATGTTAAATAAATTATACGAATTTTCTTGTACGCATTTGCAAAAGAGGAAATAAACTATATTAATTAGGTATTCGAATACTAATATATAATAGAAAGTTTGTTTCTTCATCATTGCTAGTCAATAACTGTTGCGAGACACTCGATATTGACTTTGTCTTTTTTTATGTGACCATTAGGTCACATATTAATTAATCATAATTTACAAATTAACCGCATAACAATTTTGTTCCTTTTTATTCATTGTAGAAGTTCTTTATATGTTTGACATGTAAGTTAGATGACTATAAAAATAATTCTAAGTACAATGTGGGCGAGTACATGGACATTATTCATTTTGAATCGTTTTGCTCTGCTCTGCCCTGCTGCTTCTGACATACCAAAGGCTTTATGAAACAGTAACTGTACAGTAAAACCCACTTGATAAGGCACGTAATGAATCTTCGTTTGCGGAGACCACGCCCATTAATTAAGTCCGATAATATCCGAACGATTGTTGCGAAATATTGACAATCACTAGACGACTGTTTGCAATATTCCTTTGACTGTACACGCATGCAATAAGACTTTCAGCTGTATTGAAACAAATCAGTTTATTATATTTTCTGGCTTGTTTTATTCACATTTATATTATGTAAAGATAAAAACAATTTGTTTAATTTGTAGAGATCGTAATTAACAGATTGTAAAGGTTATTTTAATTATTGTAAATGCTGAGTTCTCCAGCCAATGTTACTGTAATTTAGTATTTATGTGATATATTCCAGGGTCGTAGCTATAACTTATGCTTTATTGGTGTTTCACATCAATCTGTTGACATTGCTTTAAAATTAATAGTCTTTTATTATTTACATATTTAATCAATGATCTTGGTTGTTTTTGTTAACTAAATTATTAAAGTAAAACGAAATTTACAAAATGTCGAATTGATCCAAATAATGCTATTTTGAAAAGAAAAATAAACCAAAATGTTTGATTAAAATATATAAATTAAAAATGCAATTAATTTTAAAAGAATATCTACAGATTTATTAGGAATACCGATAAAACGTAGGTTATAGCTACGAATACGGCGGTCGCGCCCCAGGTTTAGGTGCGATACTATACGAGTATCTTTATTGATTTTCATGGAAATATCGTTATATTTTATCAGAGTAATGGTCGAATGTTTATGTATTCTATCAATGAATGAATGACGATGATGAGTTTAAAAAAAAAAACTTCCATTAAAAGTGACCGTACTGTTGACACAGGGTCAGTTAAAGAGTCGGTAGTCGTGGTACCTTCTTTAGGTCAGTCAGGTCAGCGCTACATTTAACAGTATCACTGACCCCGTGTAAATGTGTTTATATAATTATATTTCATTTTAGTCATTCGTATTTTGCTTCAAATTGTGGATGGACGTTTATAATTCAAATTCCAGCTGTCATTTAATAATAAAGGGGCCATCCATAAATTACGTAACACGTTTATTTAGGGGGGGGGTCGACGAACTGTGACATTAGAGTAGATTTGTATAGACAAACATGTGACATGAGGGGGGGGGGGGGGTTAAAATCATGAATTTTGTGTGACGTAATTCATGGACGGCCCCAAGTCACTGAAAGTTTACCGTATTTATAATGTAAATAATATTGTTATTGTACGTTGTTACTTTGTACAGTGAGTATAATATGTTGGATAAGTATATTATTTTTATTACAAATTGTTGTTTTATTGTATTTGCCATAAGGATAATGGACAATATTTTATGACCGGAGAGAAAACGATAATGCCTTAAGCCGAGATATTCTTTTGTTTTTTTTTTTATTCAAGCGCTTTGCTAAATATTTTTTAATTAACATTCAGGCAAAGAATAAAGTGTCCCTCATGGTAGGTTCATACCTGATGGAAGGTGTGTCAATGGAGACCAAAGACTTGACTGATCAACGGTCAGATTTGCACTAATTTTACTACTAGCTGCCTTGTGTCAATTATACCCTATTTCACCCGTACATGTATGGAGCTTCCCGTAAATGAAGGAATTTACATGATAGGGTCAGTATTTCCGAAGATTACCTTTTAAAACAAACAAACAAAGTTAGAAAATATTGGGTAGTATAGATTTATTAAATAGCGACATCAACTTAAGAAATTACTATGATACTATTAAATTTTAGAGTGCAATTTAATATTTAAGATGCCATGAATCCAGGATTAAATGGACTTTGCTATGAGCATAGTTTTATTATAATGGCTATGAGAGTTTAAGGATGAGCACACTACTTTATCGTACATACTGATAAGGAGAAATAAATATGTAGTAACATCATAGTAAGTATGATTATTAAGTACACACGACAAACGTATGGTATTACACAACAAATTTGTATGGTATTACGCATAGATTTGTTTTCGTGTAAATCTATGTAGTAGTATATAAGGTGGACAAAAAGGTCTTATTACAAGTTTTTATTTACTAACCTACTTAGTTTGTATGTTAGAGCGCAAATCTTGTCTCTGGTCCTGAGGGGCCTCCAAATGGGCTACCAGCCATCCGCCAAAATCATAATGATGCAATAAAGTAAAAAATGTAGGGGGGGAGGGTTGTAAACACAATATCAAATTTCTGCCCTGGTTTGTAAAATTTGTCGATCCGGGCCTATTGCCGCCCCGGGCCTGCGATGAGGTAAGCCCGCCTCTGCTATGTCTAGACTAGACATATTAATATAGATTTACTAGACTAGACATATATATATATATATGCAATATGGTGTCAGTAAGCTGATATGATAATGAAGTCCGGAGGTGGCCATAGGAATTTAGTGATGAAATGGCGCAACTGCATCATGTTTAGGCTCCTTAGATCCGTCTTTATGAAAACAAAAAAATATAAAAATAGTTTTTTTTAATGCTTTTATTTGTACGCACTTAAACGTAAATTAATTCTTAGCATTTGAAGAAGGGCATGTAGTGCTAATATTTCATTAGCACTACAGAGACGAGGAGATTTATTTTTTTACGTTTTAGTGCGAACAAATATAAGCTTGTTTATAAAAAACCTTTTTTTTAATTATATTTATTCATGGATGTAACTCCAAGATGTAAGTTAATAGAGCCATAAATGAACACTAATCGGATCTCTTTCAATAGAAAGAGAATAGCTATTTAAATCGATTGACGCGTTATCTGTTGCCATAGCAACGTGCGCACAACAAAAACGATTGCATTTTTTAATTTATTACATTTTTATTAACTAAAATATCGGAATTATTGGCTCGCTTTTGAGCTGACGTTGTTAATATTAGTGAAGGCAATGGATTACTGTGTGATATAAAATAATGTCAGTGTTGAGTCTTATACCGGAAAATAAGAGGAAAGATCAAAGGTACGGAACTTGTCTGAAGTTATCTTGAAATTGAAATATAATGTTTATTTGTTTTTAATAGGAAATCAATAGGAAATTTTTTGCTTAAGTACATACGTAGCGTTTTCGGTCGGTTTTGTATTCAATGAATTCTATTCTGAAATTAACAAATAAATATATGTAGTTGTTTACAAATTTCCAGAATAATTTTGCAAATATCGAGTCACATCTCGGGGTTATCTAGGGCTGGTAGATGTTTAAGCATTTTAATTAAAAATACCTATTTATTAGTATAGCTAGGTTTATAATAAGTACACCAGTTAAGTCAAGATTTGCATTCCCGAAACAAAATAAGTGAGTAAGTATTATGTTTATTTTATTTAACAGCCAGCTGATTACGAATGTGGAGGTATGTGTGCACCTCTCACATCACAATTTATATTCATATAAATTCTGTTGGATAACTAGACTGAAATTAGTTCTATCAAACTGCACAAACAAAGTTATCTATTTATTAACCAAGTATCCATGATATATCAGTTACCAGTTTTTCCTTTGTCCGTCTCCTCTTATTGTTCTCGTCTCATGTAATAGTCGCTTCTCCATTATTTGCATTCTACCATTTTACTATTTACTTGAAGTGGGTATAATATTAGTGCAATGTATTATTCGCAAATGAATTTGAAAGGATTACTTTTAGTTTTTTTGTATACAGTTTATTTGATATTTATTTGTTTTTGCAATCAAAACGATGTTGATAATTTGCTTTATAAGCCATCTTGATCAGTAAATAGGTATTTTGACAATCTCCAAAACTCTGTAATAGGTAACTTTTCTACGCGACAAGATATAAGTCCTCAACTGTGCGTTTTTCTAGAAGTTTTCTGCCTCGCACAGTCAAACTCTGGAACAGTGTCGCCAGCGGTATTTCCGGACCGATACGACCTTTAAACTTTGAAGCGCAGCGTATATTTGTCCCTCAAAGGTCGGCAGCGCGCTTGTAGCTCCTCTGGTGTTGCAGGTGTCCATGGGCGGCGGTAATCACTCACCATCAGGTGATCCGTCTGCTCGTCTGCCCCCTATCCCATAAAAAGAAAACTTTTTAAAATGTTCTTAGATAACAAGGAATGTAAAATGAATTGATGTCTACTTATAAAAACGATTTGGTAAATTTCCAGGAGCTATCTACTTATGTACCTACCTTTATGGCTCCTAATTGAGGAAATTCTGTACAGATTTCGTTTTGATCAAACATTTTTAAATCAGTCACTCTGATATTTGGAATTGGCATTTCCGAGAAATTGCGCGATCCTTCTAATGATTTGTATCTACATAATCGCACCCAATAACAGCTACAAGCTACGTAGAAGAATAGCAAAAAGTAAAAACATCAAACGTGTTGCTTAGGTAGAAACTTGTCGATTGTTTACGATTTCGAATTTAAAAAGTTGAAAGAGACAACGATAAGTATGTTAGGTACTAAGTACCTATACAAGAAGCATTTAAAACCACTCTCCAAATTTTAGTATGTTAATCTTTACGACAAATAATGAAATACGTGTTTTTTCTTTTTATGTCGTTTAGAACAAAAATGTTGAGTTATATCGTCACCAAGTTATTTTCAAAAAACATACATTTGTGGACGCTCCCGCTGCCCAGTACGTGCGCTTTACGCGCTACGTTAGTTCCCCCCCCCCTCCCTTCCCGCAATTCATTGATAGTAATACAAGTACGTTTGCGAGTTAGTAGCAGCTACCTAAAATGTTTTCGTTTTTTTATGCTAGGGCAAATGGTACATAAAGTTGAAACCTTTCCTTCATACTTTTACGGGCTTAGGACCGTCAAATTGCAAAAATTCTATTAGATACCTACTATTACAATAACTATACTGCTTTAAATTTATAAATAAGTAGGTAAGCAAATATCAAGTTACCTAAAATTCTGTTTAGTTAAACCAATAATAAAAAAAGTAGGTACTTAACTAGATATTCTTTGCAATCAGGCGTATTTAAAAAATCATCAACTTTATGTACATAATCAACTAATCACTTTATCCTACCTAATTTAACTATTTACCTACGTATACTTTAATAATTGTTCAAAGTGCATACCGTTCCTCTCCACACAGAGTCTTGCACGTTTTTGCACATTGTCTTTTAATTTGGCGAGCACTACAGTGTCATTTTTCACGTGGTCAAATGCCGCACTAATTTGCACTTTTAAGTCCTCGAGGCTTTGTGCTTCTTCAAAATACACACGTCTTTTGATTTCACCCCACAAATAAAAGTCGCACGGTGTTAGGTCCGGCGATCGAGCAGGCCACACGATGGGGCCTCCGCGTCCAATCCATCGATCACCATATTCTATGGTGAGATGATCTCGGACGGCGGCGGCGTAATGGGGTGGTGCACCGTCCAGTTGAAAATAAAAATCCCGGAAGTAGGCCACGGGCAAGTCCTCCATGAAATCGGCAATGACATGCCGCAACATATCGAGGAAGTTGCCGCCGGTGAGCGGCCCTTCGATGAAGTACGGCCCCAGTATTTTCGTGCCTATAACACCGGCCCACACATTGACACTAAAGCGCACTTGATGGTGGGTTTCCCGAATCATATGCGGATTTCTGAAGGACCACCAGTGTTCGTTATGATGGTTATAAAGCCCCACACGAGTAAACAATGCTTCGTCAGTCCACAAAATGTTGGCATTAGGGTGTGCAATCAGCCATTCACAAAAGGTGCGACGGGGCACATTATCTCCATCGTGTAGAGCTTGGACCTTTTGGAAGTGGTAAGGGTGTAGCCCTGTCACATTCAGCAGCTTCCACACGGCATAGTGGCTTACGTTAAATCGGCGTGCGGCATCTCGTGTACTGGCTCGCGGGTCCCTTTCGAAGAAATCCAAGATTTCATCTTCGATTTCAACTGCAAGTCTTGATCTTCCACCTCCGCGAGCGTGAGCAGGCGTAGTAAATTGACCATAGTCCAATAGCCTTTGGTTCACAGCCAAAAATGTCTCGCGACTAGGTACTGCGGGGTTTATTAATCCCTGATTTTGCAGGGCTGGGATGGATTCTGTTTCGTATAGTCTCCGAGCTGCATTTAAACTTTCACCGCTTAAAATGTAACACCGCACCATTTCGTAATATTCGCGATTGGAATACATTCCGACGCGCGAAGTGTGGGGCTGCGGCGGGTGGCGCGCAACACGGAAGCAAAGGCGGAAGCGCGTGCGTTCAAAGGGATTATGCGCGGGTGACTGATGTTGCCGACTAAATAAAAAACCGAGCAGATATCGTCGGCGGTGCATGCGCGGCGCATGCGCGGCGCATCCCCTGCGCCCGCGCCCCTTGCTACCCCTGCTCGTTTCGTTCATAACTAATGTGACAATGCGAATGTTATAATTATCTTGTAATTACAAAAAGTTTACACTTCATTTTGAAAATTTTACATACTGTTTTTTTTTCATATATGTGATCTATTAACGATACCTAATGCCTAGAAAAAATTTGGAGAGTCATTTTAAATGCAGGCGGTATAATGTAAGTAAACGAAGGTGATGATACAGGCAATGGACGACATCATCAAATGCCTTATAAACAACACGTTTACGGCTGAGAATACATAACTCAGCACGCCTTGACTCACACACTCACCACCATTTAGCTTAATTTCCGCAACAGAACGGCCACCAGTGCCATATTATTAGCAACTTACGAGTAATATGTATTATTTTTGCTGAGACTTTCTGAACTCTACAGAAATCTACAAAATAAGTTCTAATGACGCATCGGCACTCGCCTTTCTTACAATTTGCAAGTTTATACTTCGAAGGTCTCGTTTATGTTACGTTACGATTAATCTACGTAGTTAGCGTTATATCAATAAATAAGGTCGATAAAAAGGTTTTCGTATTTATTATGAAGATTCAAGACATCAAAGTCCTGCTTAATATGCAGTTTCATTTTATTGGAATTTTGTTTTTGTAAGGATCTCGAATTGGAACGACCTATTAATGTAGGAATTTGCATTCTCTTCTTCAAACAAACTACATTTTTCACATTATCTTGTAAAAATACTTAAAACTCCTTACTAAAACTTATCTTGATTAACAATATCGATTGTAATATTTAACAATTGCTGAAAGGTGAGTGGAGTAGAGCACATGACCCGGTTTTAGCCTCTGGCCCCCTTTTGACCATTCACTTCTAATGTTGAATTATAGCATAGCATAGCTTACACCTTTGCCAGGAGCTTAGTCACTTCTACCTATTTTTTAAGATGGCAAAAATCGGGTAATAGACCATACTGATTTTTCTTTTTCTTGTGGAGTAGGGAACTACGTCGTGTTATTCTATTTGACTGCTGTAAAGTAACGCTCTATAAACTATCCTTATTTCTTCCAGTGTCAATATATGCTATTTACAGGAAAGAATCCCTGGAGAGTGTTTACAGCAGCAACTCCCGTTTGAATCTCCTCAACAAACGCAAGCGGCTCAATCCTTTGACAGACGGTATGTCGAACCACTCGCTGAATGGTGATAGATACGTAACGCAGCGGGTCCTCTCCGCCAAGACGCACAGAGTCAAGCAGCTGCAGAATCAATTGGCGGATGCGCATTACCACTTACAGGTGCGTATGATGTATTGGGCAGAAAGTGAGACTTTTCATACCTCCACAGCGAAGTCGCACGCCTGATTCAATGGGTCTCCTCTCCAATGCAGAAAATAAAGTTTTCTATATTATTTCTTGGTGTTAGGGTATCTTCGTTGTTTCAGGCTCTCCATAATATTATCCCGTCATAATAAGTAAGGTTTTAATATATATTTTGATATCTACTACAATATGAGGTGTCAACTAAGGTTTTTTTTAAATCAGTGTATTTAGTATACTGTACAATGGCTATATTTGTAATTATACAAATATGGCCATTGTGACGATTTTAAATAAAGTTGTAATTTATCTTATATCTTATAACTTATATCTTACATTCAAGCTTTAGGCAGTTCGTTCATTTTTTGGATAGGCATTCTCTTCTGTACCCCCATTCAGATACATTTTCTTAATTGTTGTACAATACCATTTTTTTTTAGGAATTGAGCAACGAGAACAGAGTTTTGCGAGCAATACAGAAAAAGCAAGAGATTGCGTTGCACAGGTTTGTTCTTTCGCATTCTCAGTCTAGTATTTTTCCAGTGCAAAAAAATATTTCAAATATGTTTCCATTTTTCGACCATTAATGATATACATAATTTTATTGTCTAACATTGTTTGTTTTATTTTTAAATACTGTCAAAATTAAATAACATAGGTATGAAAACTCAAACGCTGAGCTACCTCAAGTGCTGAATTCTCATAATGAAGAGATCAGGATCCAACAGAGCAAGTACAAACAGTTGAAGCAGCAGTTCAAGGAGGTGACACAGAAGCTGAAGGAGAGAGATCTGCAGCTGCAACAATTGAAGGATGAACACCAACACTTATTAGATTTGAGCAAAGACAGGTATGACTTTTTTATCATTAGACCACTGAAACTTTTCACGGGATTTTTTACCTAAACAGATGAGAACAGAAATATATTTTTTTATTTTAAATGAAATAGATAAATTGGCCCAAAATTATATAATTATAAAGAATCTAAAACATATATAGACACAGTATGACAAACTATACGATTCTTAACCGACATTCTTGCATTTTGATAAGTAAGAATAAAAACATATTAACCAGTAATGTATACATTATTCCGCTTCCAAACTATACAAGCAATCAAAGCATTTGTGTTAATGGAAATCTGTAAAAAATATAGTTTCCTATATTAATATTGTCGAGAACCGAATAAAGTTGATCAATCGTCTATACTTTATTAATTTTTAGAAACTTACTTGAGCGTGAGAAACTGCAGCACCAGGTTATCGAGCTGACAGCGAAAGTGCAGCAACAGAATGAGACAATAAGCATGCTTCAGAGGCGAATAGCCCTCGAAGCGAAGAACTTCCGCCATCAACTACAGAATGAAATTAACAAGCACAAAGATACCCGGCACGATCTGGATATTGCTATAAACAATGCGGATAAACTATCCACTATTATAGAGGTACTTTAGCTATAATGAATATTTGAAAGATTTGACGTAAAAGTAGGTATACAATTCCACCGTGTTGGTAAATTCCAACACCATGATGCTGATGTGCAAGCCACCAAACAGCTCATAATTTTCATCTTAATGAAATGTTGTGTAAATAACGAGAGTCAATCGATCAGCTATTCGATTTTCAATTCGATTAAATAGCAGAAATTCAAGTTTTCAGTTTTAATTCATTTAGTGGTATATCAAAATAGTAGAGTTTTAAATGTGTATAAAAGTACTTCAAACTCTTTGACTTGTTTTAGATGAAAGAGAAAATGTTAAGCACGGCAGCCAGTCGGACGGTCAAGTCTCCTGTCAAACCATCTATCAATAACAGTGCTAGACCAGTGAGCCGAACCAAATCAGGACTAGACAACAATGTTAGAATAGAGGAACGATCCAATGTTAGTAAATTTGCTCATGAAGTAAGTTGAAATTAAAATTTTTACTTGTGTATGTGTGCTTCATTTCGTTGACAGAGTACCAAGTACTGAATTTTTAATGAGGAAGTTATGGCTTTTATTCGATGTAAGCTGGATTTTAACTACTTATGTTTATTGTAAAACCGGCGAATTTGTACGAAAAGAGTAATGGAAGTAGATGAGGTGAAAGATGTATCTAAGGACCGTATTTTGAGGCGTTTGGTCCTCTGCGCCTACCTCGAAAGGGATACGGGATGAATTCATAGATAGATTGATAGATAGATGTTTAATGTATTTGTTCTTAAGAATATTAATTCTTCTCTTAAACGACTAAAATTATAAGGTTTGTTTACAACATAATCATTTATCTAAATAGTTTGTGCGTTAAATTAATAAGAAAGTAAATTGAATAAACATATAATTACTTTTTCAAGATTTTGCAATTCAATGGTTCTTTTTTTCAGTTGGATCAAAACATACTGGCAAGACTTTGTGAGAACTCGCGTAATATCAGCAGCTCTTTGTCACATGAAGAAGATACGTCGTCATCCACAGAACCGCGATCTCGTTATGCAACAAGAAGTCGCACAAATTCTACCAGTAAATCAACGCCAAATCACACTAGAAAAAATTCTAAAGGTTCTGATGACATGCTCGAATTGGCCAAAACTGTTCAAGATGGTATGGCCGACCTGGCTATCTTTGATGATGAAATTGATTTTAAAAATACACCTCCAGAAGAAGTTCAGAAAAAGATTGACGTTCTAAAGGCAGACCTTTTGAACAAAATAAAAGGCAACGACGCACCGTCTAGAAAAACTAGCGCTTTGAGAAGAAAGTCAACCGAAGAGTCTATTGAAGAAGAGATCGCAGAATCTGATGAACTGGAGCGCCCTAAATCTAGAGGTAGACGACATTCGAATGTTTCTTTTTATGAAGAAGTTACTGTGGAAGAAAATTCTACTACAATCACATATAATGACGATGAGAGAGTAAAACGAGAAAATAGTATTTCAGAGAAAAGAATAGCAGGGAAACCAGTTGAAAGATATTGTAAAGATATAATGCAGGACATCGAGAAGAGTAACAAATTGATAGAGCAACACGTGAAACAATTTAATAGCTCAAGATTCGATAGCGATAAACTAGTACAGCAGCTGCAAGCTGTCGATAAAATTAATGACTTTGTTAATTTAAAGGGCGAGATACCAGAAGAAGCATTGACAGAGTTAAATAATAATTTCAAGATGTTGACAGACCAAGTAATTGAAGACTCTATTCCGATAAATAGGAAAAGATCTGTATCGAGTAGGAAAAGTTCTCGATCGGAATCTAAGACGACACTTCTGGATGATGCTGCTATGAGTAACCAAGATTTGCTAAATGATTTGTTGGGAAAGAAATGACATAATGCGATCCCACTTGGACATATTGGACTTTTTTATATGTGATAGTGCGTGTTGCCTTTCGAGGCACACATTTCCTTTAGGTTCTTTATAACCAAGTGTTATTTTTATTTGTGATTCTTTTATTATTTACAAGAGATTATCTTGTTTATTTTACTATCGTGTTCAATGTTTTTTTTTTCTATTACTTAAGAAATGGATGTTTGTGAGTGAGATTGTTCTTTATTTATTTCGATGGATAATTGAATTAAGGCTATGAACCAAAATTAGAAAAAAAATACGTGTAAATTATTGTTGTCTTGTAAAGTTCAGATTGCACATTGGTCACTTAATCAATAACTTTATATTATACTACTCAATATAACAATATACCAAAGCAGACATCAACTCTAGTGCTGTAGGAATGTTATCTTGCAACTAATCAACTTTTCGACATCTTATCATAGGTAAGATCCTTTAGCTTTACGACCAATAATAGAATAATGTTCTCGTTGTTTTTAAACATGATCAAATCTATGAGATTGTATTATCTATGTACAATTTATATGAATCGATTATGAATATGGAGTAGATTTTTTATGTTTTTCTGCATGTTTCCTTATTTGTTCACCGAAAGGTACCCATACAAACGTAGTCCACATGTTGAAGGTGTTTGCCGGAACAGGTTATCAAGATGGTCCCAAAACAATTTAGCAATGCAAGAACATTGGGTTAGTAAGAAAAAATAAGCTCAATCCTTGTTTTTTCGCAACATGTAAAGATATAAATCATAAACTGAGTAACCTACCGACACATATATATACAGGTTCAATGTATGTAAAATTTAAAATGACTCGTATCCCGAGATCAGCTCGCACTTTGGCATTTTTAACAATTAATGTACATTTTTCTTGAGACAAATAAAACCTGTGAACTATGTCTGCATGTAGAAAATAACGTGTACGGCTGCAGAGTATGCTCTGTGGTAGTACCACGACGACATTTTATATTTACTGGAAACCACAAGGTACAATTTTTATTATTATACGTAAAATTAAGTACAATTAATGTACATTATTCATATAAACACAAGATCTGTTGAGCGCGGTGGTACTGCCAGAGAGTATCACAAACAATTAGTCTTTCATTAAGCGCTTCCGCGTCGAAATTATGACGTATGAAGGCTGCATTTGGCCGATGGTATGGGTTATGTTGGATTTGACCACCGCTGATTTTTTTGTAGATTATTCCCATAGACTTGAGACGTAAGATGACCGCACAAGAAATAGTCTAATAAAGAATCGATGAAATCCTATGGTGAGAAAATTTCCTTGATCAGTAGGTATAGTGAGAGATTTTTAATAAATATTTAATTTAAAATATTGAAAACAACAGTGATCTAATATTGCTATTCTTAATATGTATGTATCTAATATCCGTCACTTTAGACACGCAGATTATGGATAGTACAGAAAGTCCTTATAATACATAAACAGATCCGCGTCACGACACTCGGCGCTGGTTAGTTGTAATACCGGTTTTAATGTCATTCGTCGCTGAACGAATCGATTATTCGATTAGAGGTAAATATCGTAGAGGTTGATATTTAGACCGATTGGCAGCCATATGAATATCTTTAGATATTCGGGATCTCTCCACAATGCTCCCTATTGTATTATTTACCGTGGAATTCAAATCTTGCGAAGAAATTCGTATGCGAATGAAAGTGCTACTGAATAGATCCTCAAACAAAGATATGTGGATATTTTCTACTCTCATGTAAAATTGTTCTGTATATAATGTTATTTGTATGGACCATGATTGTGTGATAATAAATTAAATATATTTTTGTGATAACTTTCTTTTTATTTGCACACATAGACTTGACCGTTTTGTTGTTTGCCTGCATCGTACCATGACAGTATGTGGAACGTTTCTTGACAGGCAAATTCTTTGTATTGGATTGTAGGAGACTCCAAAGACCTTAACATCACCGATCAACATAGGAGCGTGCCACGAATGAAAAGAAATCAAATTAAACTGTAAGGACTTGTAAATGTCGAAGTGTAAACTAAGATCGGATCGGCATCAAATTTATGGTAGGGGTAGACATTGTACTGAGAAGAACTTTGTTGAGGTTGCTTGTTTCTTCCTGTTTTTATTTAATGCAAAGAAGTCCAATTAAAAAGGACTTTATTAGACTACCAAGTCACATTCCATCATTATAAAAGTAAATGATGAATACACTTATTATTATTATAGTGACAGAAGTTTAGCTTTTTATATGAAATTGGTTTCGCTTCGTTTACTGTAAAAGGTCAGAATATAGAAGAACTGAAATTACTTTACCTACATCTTGTCCAATACCAAATCCTATAATAGAATGAAAGAAAATAAATAATAGCTGTACTCATGCAAAAATATTTGTCAATACCGATCGAAGTGAATTTTACACAATTACAACGTTTACCGGACCCCGTAGACCCTTTTAAATTGTGGCATTCCGGGTTCGCGTAACCGAGTTCGATTAAAGCATTTCTATCAACCCTTCCGTAAAGTTATTCGCTTGAAGCACCGTCAAGGCTTGCATCATTTTTGGTTACTGAAATTCGAGATGTCCTATTGGATTAAGGAGTCACTTCAGATTTTAAAATGAAACTCCTTTATTTAGTAGGCAATTATATAATTTTGTATCCTAAATCCTGAAATTTGTAGTAAAATATATACAGATTTATATCAATATAAATGTGGGTCCTCGATCTAAACATCTACACCGAGGAAACACATGGAACATGGAAAGTATTTAATGTACATTGATGAAAATATTGTATCATTTAGTAGCAATGCGTATATCACCTACTAAATATCTGAGCCCAATACGGTTCATATTAAAAACAATACAATATTTTAAGGTGGCTCCTTAGTCTATCCATAATAGCGGAAGTTTTGATAAAAATAATTAGTTAATTTAAGTTCCACTTAAAAAAAGTAGTAATTGATTTTAGTAAAAAATGCATTTAAACTGGCTCCTCAATTAAGAGTAGTATGAGAACCCCTGGCCGTTTTATATAAAACCTCACGGAACATCGGCCCAAAGTCTCATGGTTGTAACATATGATCTATCTTATTATCGTGTTCTTTCAAATTCTCCAAGAAGAAAAACGTATGTGCCTATATCAATGTAGGGAGGGGGGGGGGGGGGTACTGGCGACTGTAATATGGTTCATACTTTAACAGCTATCAATGTTATCTTTTAATTCATTAAACTTAATAAATATTTTTGTGTCAATCAAATAGTAGGTATTAAGACAAAATTGTGATATGGAGTCATTAAGATTATTATTTTCGATCATTATTATCTCTACTACATTTTTTAAGGATTTCCAAATGCTAGTGTGTGGTGTACACATATTAATTAACTGTTTAGCTATTTTACGTTTACGTACAATCAACGTTTTCCGAAAATGATGGTACTACACAACACAGATGTCTTTCTGCGTTCTGTGTACGTACTCATGCTTGATGCATTAAGATTTAAAATCAAGGGAAGGAATTTAAAATTTCGTGAATCTAAATTAATTTAGTAAATAAAAAAAAATAACATATAAATGAAGTCTTTACTATACTGACACATTTAAACAAGTTTATCTAGAGTTTGTGTTGAGCTTTAGTTAAAACATAGTTGCACATCAATGTCACGTTTCAAATATTTGGAATGAGACAACGGTTTATATTTACCACCAATGAAATCTTCAATCGAATCAGCTTATTATACAGAAAATATATACTATGATTGCTAGTCATAGAGCATAGAGAAATAGTTTATATATATTTAGGTGTTTTAAACAGTTTGAATGCCTTGAAGAGGCTGCGAACATACAATACTTTTATAGACTTTAGATTATCCACAGGTGAGACAGATTGTAATTTACGCGTGCAAAGTAGCGAGAAAACAGTGTACTATTAAAAAAATCTTTATCGGGTTACAATACGCCAAATTTCTGTAATTATTTTCGATTTTTACTTCAACGGATTAATTGATTGTAGAAAAGCTTTTCGTAGTAACCTGATATTATTATGCTGTTGTAAGTTTGGATTCCTTTCGATTTCACGAGAGGAAAAAAAAGTGTCCCAATTTTTTTTTTATGAGACTCAAATTGCCTTGATTACAGAAAAATCATTTAAAAATTAGTGATATCAATAATTGGAAAAAATATCATAATGAAAAAGTAATTTACAAAATAACTAATTTAAATTGGTGAACATTTAGATCAGTGACTACATCGATTTATTGTGTCCTAACGATTCTGGAAGTTGACAATTACTTTTATTAAAATCAAGACGTTTTTCTGTAATGGAAACCAATAGGTTAAGGGCTTCCCTAATTTCCAGCAGCTTTACCGCGTTAAATACTGATTGATGTGTTAGATAGATAGATAGATAAATGCTTTATTGAACCACTACTATCACTACATTATAAGTTGTTATAAAATACTTTGTTGGTGTATAGAAACATTAAAATTACAAAAGACAACGATTTATATCACCGAACTAGAGTGTGAAGCAGTAGCTCAAGAGGTATACAGCTCAGTGTTGGATGTTCCATATATGAAACAGACACTGATTTTCAGCTGTACCCTAGTCGCCGTTCTGTTACAATATGATCAAAATGAAGATATTGTCAAGCTGACAGATCAACTATGAATAGAGCAATTACGATTCGATGGACCGTATCTGATTTTGACAGATTAATCATACGAGGCTTCAATTACAATGTTGAGTACATAGTTCACAGTTTTTGTTATTAGGTACAGTTCATGTGACACCCTGTAAGGGGCTGTATGACTGTGAACAAAAGAATAAATTCAACATTAACAAAGAAAATTGGTCACGTACTGATCCTTTCGTGAGTTGGTCTTGATGGCGTCCTGAGGAGAGCATAACACGCTCGAAAGGAACTTGAAGTACATACACCCCAGGAGGGGACAACCACACTGATGGACTCAGGTTGGACGAAAGTGGGCAAAAAGGATGGAAAAGTGGCAGAGGAAACTCTGACCACCACTGCCCAGGCTGCTTCAAAAGAATCAAAACGCAAGAAGAAAAGAAGAAGGATAGGATGCAAAAGGAGAAACAGAGCAGGAGAGAATCCCGAATGGCTGCTTCTTCTAGCAAACGAATTTGCCCCGACCCGCCGAAGAATAACCCCAAAGGATGCCACCTCTGGCCCCTCACGCGAGACCTCATCGTTTCTGAATGCAACCTGGAGATCGAGATCGTCGATTCCCAGGACGATAGCGTCCCACTGCAGTAGTGCCAAACTACTCCAAGCAAATTTCCAAGACAGTATCATCGCAATGGCTCAGTTTCGGAGGTGGTTGGAGGCAAATATAACAGCGGTCGCGCTGATTCAGGAGCCGTGAACCAGGGGTGGCAAGATACGTGGACTTTCCAGTCAAATCAAAATCAAATCAAAATTGTTTATTCAGTTGAGTCTTTAACAGAGCACTTGTGAAAGTCGAAAACTACGCCATTAGTAAGAAACTCAGCAAGGGCTGTTTTTTTTCCCTGTTTTATTTCACACAGAGCCCAGATAGCATAGAAACTTGGGGCAAGTTTGATTTTATTTGATTCTTAATTGCTGCGTCAAATATGACGAGGCAAGTTTGTGACAAAGTCGCTGTAATATTGTTATGTAAATATGAAGTTTCAAGTTTGCGACAATATTGTTTGAATATTGTTATGACAAAGATACTTATATGTAACACACCCATCATCTTCATAGGTAGCCGAATAGTTCTAAGTCTGCAAACTAGATGGTGCTGTTCATTTAATGCATCGCGGTATCAGTTTATATTGCTAGATTGTATAAGTAATATGCCGTTTAATGTGATCTTAATATGGGATTCGAAACCAACCATTCCAGTTAATTATTTTAGCTCTTAGGCTAGGCACTGTGCTGTAGTCTGAGTTTAAAGGTGTTTAGTCTGAGTTTGAATGATCAAAAGATTAATAAAATCTACTACGGTAGTAGTAATAATAATTTTCCTAGGTACACTTGTCACACTGAAACTAGAAGGTTTGATTAAAACTTGCTGCAAGTTACTGCAGTTGTCATGGCAACCCTGAAACAAGTCTTCTTTTTTGATGCATTAAAATTGTTGCAAGTTTAAATAGCTATCTGGGAGAAGTCTTATTGAAAAGTGAATTAGAATATGAAATCACTTTCCATTACAATATAAGAAAGTTAAATACAATGAAGTTAACTATTTAACACCATGCCTTTTTGTCATTTTGATATTAACGGTTTAATATCCTTTACTTTGTAGACAATTTTTAATACGACTTTTAAAATGATTTATTGGCAAATCTGATACATCACTGGGGAGCTTGTTAAAGTACTGTATACCTTGACCCATGAAAGAACCTAATACCTTCTGTAACCTTTAAGAAGGCATTACCAGATTGTTTTTATTTCTAGTGTTAAGTTTGTGTAATCACTATGCTTGGTATACACATTAATATTGTTCCGGACAAAAAGTATACAACTATATATAAATTGAGATGTAACCGTCATTATTCCAATTTCTTTAAATTTCTCCCTAAACCAACCTAACTGATAAACACCTCTTATTCCCCATTTTTGTAAAACAAATATAGACTGAATATCGGCTGCCGTTCCCCACAATATAATTGCCATAGGACATGATACTGTGAAAATAACTAAAGTACACTGTCCGGGCAGTTTCTATATCGGAAATTTGTCTTATTTTTCGAATGGCATATGCAGCTGAGCTGAGTTTACCAGCTAATATAGAAATATGCGGGTTCCATTGCAGTTTTGAATCTAGTGTTATGCCCAAAAATTTTGTTGAACTTACTAACTCTTAATGTTCGTTGTTGAGTTTAATTTCAGTTGGTTCTACTTTAACATTAGGTAGAGTGAATTTTATACATTTGTTTTTTTTGAAGATTATTAACTGTGGACCAAAATAACACTCGTGAGAGAACATTGTTTACATCGTCCTTCCTTCTGACCACCAATTCCTTCTGACCACTAACGTTCCGATAATGAATAGAGGAAGCGAACCCATCTTTGTGAACAAGATCGATAGGTCTATAATTGATCTGACTCTCCTGACACAGGAAACAGTGGCAGCGACATTGGACTGACACGTATCGAAAGAGGCCTCTCGGCTCTGAGCATCGGTGGATTCGGTTCGACTTACAGGTACCGATCACTAACCCCGTCCTTAAAAGGTACAGCTGTCTAAATGATATATCTGTTAAAGGCAAGTGAAATAGCTTCATTCGTTCATTTGCACAAAAAGTATTTTCTTACATATTACAGACGAAAGAATAACATAATTATTATCATTACGTGTTTCGTATTCTCAGATATTTGTAAACGCATGTTTTGTATAATGAAACAAAATAATCCAATATAAAGGTTTCGGTTTCTTATTGCTACGGTTGTGGGAAATTAAAAAAGCTTCGCTTCTATACCATTATTATACGATAAACATAATATTAAATTACATAATAGAGGAGAAGCATCACAATCTAGACAGCGTTTATAAGAAGAACTAATGACTTGCTGGCCCTTTATTTGTTTGGACGCAGGTTTTTTTTTTTATTCTAAGTTTGGGTGAAACATCTCTTTTTATCTAAATCGTTAATAATGTCATTATTTGCCACCATACATATATTTATTATTTTTATGAGACGTTCGGTGGATACAGCCCTTGTGCATTAAAAAACAAACCGTAAAATTGACAAAAAGGTTCTTTGATTGAATTGATTGATGATGATTCTTTATAGCACTTTGAAATACAGTGGAAATGTACATTAAATTAAACACAGTAACACAAAAGACGGCCTTATTGCTAAGATAGCAATCTCTACCAGGCGACCCTAGGCTAAAGAAAACGATACCAATTATAAAAATTAACTTAAATTAAAAATTAAGCGGGTTAGTGTATTAGAAGAATCAGAACACGAGACCATTTAAATGCATATACATAGTCTAAAATAAAGTTCTTAAACTTATTTTTTGTATTTATTTATTAAAGATTTATGAGTAAAGAGATTATAGTGCTTCAATATATCCTCATATGTAGGAAACTTGCGTCTTATGCCAAATTTATAACTTAAATGTCTTAGAAAATGTCTAAACTGCTTCTATACTATCAATATGAATATGGTAATATGGTGACCACACTGCTGAGCAATATTCCAATATACTTCTAACTAATGCAGAGTAAATTAACAAAACACTTTCTGGCTTTCGGAAAGGCTTAACTATTCTAAGAAGAAATCCCAGGGTTTTATTTGCCTTTGCTATCATGTAATCATAATGTGGAATTCGTTATTCGTTAGTCACTATCACATTAGTTAGAAGTATATTGGAATATTGCTCAGTTTATTGTATATGAGTTTCCTAATCGTCTATATTTTATGTGAATCTTATGTTTTTCACGTAGTAGTTTAATTAAAGGCTTTGAAAACCATTCCGGGTGTGAATTCCTAGGCCTCTTCCTCGGCGTATATTTCTCTATCATTTCCCATAAAAAGTTATGAAACACTTGTAAGAAGTCATTACAACCTAAATCAGCATCATCCCAGTCTATTTCAGCCAGCTCCGTCTTACAAGCTATTAAGTTTGTTTTATGAAATATGTATCTAAGTTCAACATTTTCCTTTTTTGTGACAGTTCATCGTAGTGTGTAACGGTGGATGGTATTTATCAGTACGAGATAACGGATGTGTCTCCTTAACCGTGCATTTAATGCCTGACAACACAAGATCCAAAATCTTACCTTGTTGCTTAGTTGCGTATCGAATTGAATTGACAAGTTCAGTCCTGATCAGAGCATTACGCAATGCTATGATTTTATTATCTGTGGTTATGTTACAATATGGCACGGACCAGTCTATGCTAGTTAAAATAAAATCGCCTATAATGAGCACTTTTTGATCAGTGCATGTTAACATGACTTGCTCAAAATTATTGACAAATTCCAAAAAATCGCTATCAAGTATGTAAGACGGCATGTAAACTGTACAAATATTAAGTATAATTTTTTCAAAACGTACACTGATCCATATATCTTCCATTGAATTTTTTCTATACAAAATAAACCCCTCTTGATTGCTATTAGTACACCCCCTCCATAGGTCTTATTATACTTGTTCATAAATTCACTCGATCTATCTCTACGATAAACGATATATCTTCTATCAAATAGCTCCATGGATTGCACAGAATCATCGAGTCATGTCTCGCACAGACAAATAATATCAAAATTGCTTGTTCAAACCTCTAACAAACCTCTAACATTTTGGTAAAATATAGACAACAGATCCATCGTAAAAATAATGTATGCATTTTATATTATTGCACGATGATATATTAAAAAGAAGAAAAACAATAATTACAGACTTCATACCTACTTCAATTTTTCCAATACTTCCCCATTCCTTACATGTGTGAAGTCAGATGTTTCACTTTTCCGCATGAAAATCCGCCCATCTCTCACCCATACAAACTTGTAGGATAGTTCCTTTGCCTTAGCTCTGGCAGCAGCATGCAGTGCTTTATTAGAAGGAGATGAGAAGCTCAGACACATACACAATCGAATTGGAACCAACAATACCTAACAGAGATGAATTGAGTTTATTAATAGGATTCGATTTATTGAAGCGCGCCACCGACGAGTAGAATTCATCTCGACACCGGGTACTCCTAAGTTTAACTATAATGGAACGTGGCTTTTTACTTTCTTTGTTAATACTTGCCACACGGGTACATTTCATTATATCAGAATCACATTTGCAATCTTCTTAAATTATGTCCGTTATGTTTTCATTCTTTTGCTGTGGTATTACCTGGATCTCAAGGTTATTTTTCCGTAGATATTGCTCTATAGTATCTAGTTGCACTGCCATGGCGGATGCAGTTGATCGAATCTGTTGACATTCTGTTTTCAAATTCTGATAGTCGTTTATAATTGCATCATTAGTCTTGATTAGATCATCATATTGCTTACTCATGTATTCAACTGAGTCTCTTAAATCCCCTAGTTGCTTTTTAATAGGTGCTAGCTCATCACGTATAGTCGTTCTAATCTCGTTACGAATAGTGTTTATTAAATCAACGCCTTCAGACATATTAATCTGATTAGTAGATCTTGACTTAGAACGTTGAGTGACATTATTAGTAGCCAGCGATTCATTATTCATCTGATCAGATGTTTCTTTATCCATACGTATCGGGGTGTTTAAGTTATAACCTTTCGGACGCTTATTGGAACATTTAGGACAAGTCCATTCTCTCTTCTTATCACTAGAAACGCCATAAAAGCTGTTAAAACGCTTTTTGGTAACGTTTAAACAGATCAAATCATACACACTATCACATGTACTGCATTTAAGATGTCTTCTACTGTCAACTATATTAAAACATCCAGCACAAACAGTACCTTTAGAAGCCATTTAAATCTCCTTCTTTCTTCTAATATGATATAGTCCCAGATCCAACAGTATTCTACCACTTAGTTATACTCTTTAATAAGTGGCAACACCAGATTGTAAATTATAACAATTATTGCGGGTAATCGTAGTTTTTTTTAAATTAGTTCACTGTCAAAAGTAATTTTTTTCATTCTATTTAACACCAGTTTCAAGTTTTTTCGTGGGAACAACACTTGTGATGCCTATAAGGGTGACTTACTTCAGAAATATAATAGTCTTTTAAGCTTATTTAATCATTTAGGTGAAATTATGTAAAAATTAAAGGTGAAACTTGTTTACACTATTACTGTCCACAGACCAATATATATTTCTCTTTGTTAATTTTATTTAAATATCAAATATCTATTGGTTAAACACTATTCCTAATTAGATCTGAATTTGGTAAAAAATATGTAACAAATAAGTAAAAACAATGTTTAACCGATCAACTGTTTTTCTTGCAATTTTTTTAACTTTTTTTATACTTATCATTGTAATATTATTTATAGACTTTACACATTTTGCATTATATTAAGTCACCCATTAATTTAATATTAAATGCATTCTTACTATGAGTGGTATGATTATCTCTATCTGTCTCTGTGTGCGTGCTTGCGTGCATGCGTGTGTGTGTGTATGTGTGTGATGGCGAAAAGAGATTAGCTTAGCCATAATGCATCCTCATCCTCTGTGTCCTGATAAAACAGTTTTCTTTTTTTTTTTGAATATTTGTCTATTCTACTTTATTGTAGATGTAGGGAAGAATCAACGCTGGACGATGCAGCATGAGAATGCGCTGCGCGTTTTAGGTATTGGAATCCGAAAGACGCGACAATTGCAGTCTGGGCAGTTGAGCTCTTTTCTGTGCATTGCTATGACCGCCTTCAGAATAAAAATCGGACGAACCCTCAACAATTTGCACACCATGTAGAGATCGTCCGTGGGATACCTGAACGGTTTCTTTAACATTACTATTACTTTTAGTAGTATTCTCTGGGCTTTTTCTACTTCAATCATGTTTGTTTGAATTGCTCCGCCCCAAGCCAGCGGTTCACACAAATAGATGCCGTATCTTGCACGACAAGTGTCTTTTACATATGCGGTAATACCACCATTCTGGTTAATATTGTTTTTGTGTGGCGAGATACATAGCATTTATTTACGGAATTACAGGGTTGTCCTCTAATATTAAACCATAAAATTTGCCTTCACATGTACCAAGCTGCGACATTGCTCATAGTTAAACATTCATCTATGTCGTTTTGAAACTCACACATTACTACTAACTATAATTGTTAAATGCTTAGAAAAGTGTGTATCGCTTGAGCTTCCGTTCAGACTATCAATGCAATGACACAGCTGGGGATGACTTAATAGGTGCGTGTGTGATTGTGTACTTATGGTGAGTGATATTATTAATGTAGTTAGTTGAATTAAAGGAGAGTAAATAGCAAAGGAGACAATTTGAGAATATATGTTGCCTTGTAAGGCTTTACGAACAATTTAATCGTTAATAGGTATAGTGTCAGGTTCCATCGTTTGGAGATATATATCCAGGTCTTCCGGAGTGCTTATACGAAAAGCCGATTTGTTCACAGTTAGTCACGTAAACCATACCGTTCAGCACCTAGCAGAATTTGAAACCAATTTTTTAGCATGAAGTCTCGAGTCCCGAAATAAGTTTTTATTTTCTTTGGTGAGCCGTTCGCTTATGTAGATATTCTTGAGTGAACCAGCTACACGGACGTTGTTTCGTTGTTTTGTTCCGGTACCCCGATTATCTCTAATTTAGTTGATGGTCTTGTCCAGCGATTGGTCGTTGCATTTGGGACACTGTAATTTTTAATTACGCTATTTCTATATATATGGCCTGTAATAATTGCTTAGCAAATTCGCCTAATCTTTGATTTAGATATTTGAAGTTTGATCTTCGATTTCCTGACGTAATCCTTAGATCCCGTATTTTCGTTATTAATAAACAAATATCTGCGTCTTGTTATGATTATGGATTACTTTTCTTCACTTTTGGTTTTGTGCCCCTTGTGGTATTAATATTTTAACTCATTGTGTGTTTGTTATTCAAAGGAGCCGGAGATAAATACATTACTTTCTGTTTCGGTATAATGAACATGTACATACATGAGGGGCATAATCATTTAACCCTGTTTTCCTGTGTAAACGCGTTAAGTCCTCCTTTATATTTAAGCACATTAAATCGAAAAGCTTATTACATTTTGAATATTCCATATAAAGCAACATACGGATGATATTATTGCATTCGCTGCAAGTCGTGGCCATCACTATGTCCGTCACTTCAACTGCGTTTAAACGTCACAGCAAATAAGTTGCACTAAGCTCAAGTGGGTGCACGAATCGAGTGGATGACTCGCCTAGATTAATAAGAGGGTGGTGCGGAGTGCGCCCGAGCGTGACAGTAACGGCAGCAGCGGTGTTGTTTATTTGAGCGACCGTTGCGGAATATTTTAAAAGCAAATTTTACCAGAAACTCCCAAACCTCTCGATATCTTGAAGTGCGGTTTTCACTAGTAGCTAGCTGGCTTATCTTCTTAAGGTTTATTGTTAGAATATAGTTAACGGATGACTTAATATCCTTATTCAATAAATTAATCAGAAACAAAGGGCGACATGTGTACCACACTACTGTAATTTTTAAACGGGATTTCGATTAGTTTGTAGACTTTACTTTTTTTCTGATTTTTAACAAATAAAGTAGCTTTCATTTTCAATTTTGAGGTCCCGGAGTCAACAGGGAACCCTTATAGGTTCGTCATGTTCTACGGTCAGCGGTTTAGCTCAAATATAATTGTATTAGAATGGTGTAATTTGGCATGAGTATACACTATAATCACACCGACAAAGTGGTAAAATAATATTTTCTATGTGTACCTCCCTATGTATAAAGTTGAGGATGAAATAAAATTTTTGTACCTATCTTTCCACAGCGTGGGATCGTTGGATAGATCTTTAAAAAATATTAGAGGTGTGTGAAGACCGTTTTTCGACTAAGTTAATTGTTCGTGACTTATTAAGCTTCAAAGTGCCAAGTGGATTTAATAAAAAAAATATCACACCTGTGTTGGCTTAACAAATTTAAGAGTTACAGTCGATCAAATGTATTTTAATCGAAAATTTCGAACAACTCCTTTGAAAACAACAAACGTGTTTTATTTGCGTTTTTGGTGGATAATGGTACGGGACCCCTTCGTGCACGAGTCCGACTTGCGTTTATCCAGTTTTTTTATATATATTTAATTATTGTCAGCTAAAAGACGTCCTGAACAAGTTGTAGGTGAAAAAATTGGACTTGGACGATTCAAAAGTGCTTGAAACAAGCTTACTTGAATAAAGACATTTTCATTTCAATTGGGGTATTATTATTCACCGGACTACAAAGAATCTATGGCTGACTGTTAACGAGCTACTTTAATACTTTATCATGGGGTGTAAACTTATGTTTGCGAAAATTGTACTAATATTCCGATAATTATGAATGACTTAAAAACAAAAAAAACTTGAAATGAGCTATTAATGTCTGCCATCAGGATTGGAGAGGCTGGTAATCTGTCATACAGTTCTACTAGTATGTATACCAGTCTCTCGCATAGATTATAAAAATTGTCCTACTTAGTTTTTAAGGAGGTTATTATACTGTGATATCTGTGTGAGATAACAAATCAAGTATATTATTATTATTGTACTACCCGTTGGAAAATTTCACGCACGTCACGTACCAAAATCTCTGAAAATGTTGAATTGAGATAGCAAGACCAAGTTGACCACTAAGTTGCTATGAGGATCAGGCGTAGAATCTTACACATGCAAAGCATCAGGCTGCTTTAAAACCTTAAAATAAAAGTCCAGAATAAGCACAGTAGAATGATGATGATATAAAGGTGGATGCTTACCGGTAGATTTTTAATTAGGATAAGCTTAATACTCACAGTCCGAGTACTATGTGCAGACACACACACACTGTACCCTCGGACCACGTGGGCGAAGCCGTGGGTTACAGCTAGTTACTCAATGAAGTGTTAATTTTTCGATATCCAATCTCTCGACAAGGAGTATACATTACACAATCACACGAAGTGTAAGTATTATAGGTATTAGCGTTTTTTTAATACTACCACATGTCTAGTGGAATAGTGAAGTCTTTGCGTGCAAGAGATTAGCTGTAAAAGTTTTCACCTAGATATGACGCAAGTACACAAAAGGATTTCTTATCAATTACTCTTAGGGATGTCAATATTAATGAATAATAATGCATTTTTTGTTCTTTCATTTATTGGAATATCTCATGATACTTTTAAAAGTGTTGTTAGATATAAAAATGACTTCTTAGTATCGGATTTCAATTATGATACTACTATATGAACGAATGTGGATTAAAATAACTCTTTAATGAGATATTTTGTTATCTTTTGTCTTATGACTCTGTGGTACAATACTTAGGTGTTAATCATATTGAAATTATTGAATTGTTCAACCCTACGTTTTGGTAAATATGTTTAAGGAGTGCTATAAGAGCAAACAATATGTCTTTAGTATAATCGTAAGCGTAAAAGATTACGCTCGCGCCGCGATTTGTGATGCTAAGGGATTTAACGTTGATCACTTCAGAGATACAAATTGTTCTTTTTTATCATAAGAGAAATTTGAGTCGTCAACTATAGCAAAATTAAAATGTGTCAAAGTGCAATTGAGACTGAATATTTAAATAAAAAAACATTTCTATCGTAAGTGAAGTACTAATTCACATATATTATATCTCCAAGTTAATAAATTATATATAAGAGACAACTTTAATTGCTTAGATTCCAAGATGAATAGCTAATGCCCCCTTATTATGGAGTATTGAGACAACCAAGGTACCTCAACCCTCAAGTCCGAGTCAATGAAGAAAATACAATTTTCTACATTAACCCGATCGGGAATCGAACTCGGGACTTCAGAGATGGCTA